ACAGGTGAATTCTTAGAAACAAAAGTTTGTTTACACACATGTTTTGAATTGAGTGATCATATTTTTATAAATAGCAAACTCATGAATCTATTTATAGGTATTTAATGGTAATCACCTGCARGATTTCTGGAGAAATATAGTCTGGTGTTCCAACTGCTACTGATGAACGAACCTTGAAAAAATACAAAAGCAAACTTTTTAATATCATTACAGTTTTTAAAGTAGCTAATAACTTGTTTATCCATACCGTGCCATCCTTGGCTAATTTTTGACATGATCCAAAGTCTGCAAGTCGTATATGCCCACTGATATCAAGTAACACATTATCAGGTTTCACATCTCTGCAAAAGTTTTGAAAAGACTACTTAGACACAAAATGATTTCTCAGATTATTTCAAAATATYATAATCCAACATTTGATGAAAATTTACATTTTCTGCGAGTTTTTGCTAGCTTTATATTTAAAAATTTTGCTCTTGCTCAACTCTCTAAGTGTGGGAAGAGTTGCACCATTTTGCCATAATGAAAAAAATCAGTAATTCAAATATGCCATGCCTTGTGGTGTATATCAAAGTAGTTTACAACCATGACTGAGTGGAAGAATGAAAGAACAAAAAGGAAAATGAAGGAAATGAAAAAAATACAAGTGAGAAAAAAACAAATGGGTAAAGACAAGGATAAAATTACTAATCAGAATATTACAATTATAAAAGATAATACTGTACCTGTGTACATATTCCATTTTATGGATAGCAGATACAGCAAGGACTACTTCTGCTACATAAAACTTGGCCAGTTCTTCAGGGAGATGGTCTTCATAYTTACTGAGCAGAGTCAGCAAGTCACCTCCACTATAGTAATCCATAACAAAATACTAAAGAAAAACAAGATTAAAACCATTTTAACTAGCTGTACAACAATACAACCAAGTTTAGTTCATCAAAGAACTTTAAAGTTTCCCAGGATTCAATGCTGCTCCTTTCCCAGTTTAAAAAAAGATAGGAATGTTAAAATTGTAATTAAGACTTTTAAACAGGCAAAACAAATTATGATGTTGCTTTTCAGAATTTTTTCACAAAAACAGTAACCTATCTTCAGTAACAAACTAACTTTGTTACAAAGACACAAAGAATGATGGCAATTCTAAAATCATTTTGTAAATTAGCATACATTGCATCAATAAGACTAACGAGCAAAATAAATTATGACGTTGCATTTCAGAATTTGTTCACAAGAATGGTAACTAAGTTCATTTGGATTATTGGTCTTCAATAGAGCAAATGACTGGTCTTTAAGGCAATTAACCTTATCTCATAACTTAAATGACAGCCTATCAACATATAKAACTCAACATTACATGTACAATCAGATAAGCACTGTGTCCGTATTACTACTAGTGAATGTAATTTATCTGTAGCAGCAATTTCCTGTTCTAAAAACATTTTGAGTAATATCTTGAAGATGAAGGGATGGGATAACATAATCTACTTATCAATAAATATTCAGAGCTATTTATAAAGCTATAGAACTAAACGATTTAACAGGATGTCTGTCCAACTACTGGTATGCAGGGGGGAAATAAATAAATTTAAAAACAATAAATAACAAATGTTGCCAACTCTTTTCAGAAAATGAATACCAAATCTTTCAAAGTTCAATTGTAGAAAAGAAGAAATTTGATACTCAATTTGGATTTCTTTTTATATGACAATCATTGAAAAAAACATTCAAGTTTAATTATTTTTCCTTAGTTTCAAATGCCTTAATATATAATAACAAGTCCCTCAATTCATAAAACACATTATACATATGGAGATGTCTGTTTTGAGAGAATTCTCTACGCAATGGTCAAAATATTGATATCAAAGGTCAAACATTACAAAGTGTACAGTAAATACTCACAAGATAACAATCATCTTGAAATGCAAAGTGTAAAGTAGTTATCCACCGTCTGTCTCCATACACCAGTACATCTCTTTCTTCTTTGAAGCAAGCAGTCTAAGAAAGACAACATAGGTCAATACTGGAGAATTTAAATCAATTCAGAGTTTAAAACACTTGCTTCCATATGAGACCAAGTAAATAGAGCAAGTCTAGCACTAATGTTGCTCTTCTAAATTGATTTGTCAATTATTGTTTTCATTACCAGTATATGGAATTATAAATACAAGATTTCTAAGCTCCCTAAAACGTTCAAAGAATAATACCAAAGATTGCTTAGTTTGCCAACTAGTTTTAAAGAAAAGGAAGTGGCCATATGAGATGTAAACATAATGGTAGTAGAATAATAACAATTTAATAACACCACGTCAATAATAAAAGGATATTACATACACAGAAAACTTGGCCCATAAACCACTAAGCCTTTAAAACTAAACACATGATAAATGTTTGACATCAGAGGAAATAAAAATTTTAATCTATCAGCTACAGTAGCAATAATGTTACTTTTCAGTCTGGTGTTTTTGACATCTGTTATAAAGTATATTGGATTGGATCAAAATGAAAGTGTCTAACATGGTTGGCTAAACAAAGCTTGTGAAAATGAAATTAGCAGTAGCTCAAAGCATTGAATTACTTGCAGGATTTGCATTCATTAGTATCGCGAAACAAACCTTATTAAAAATGTTTTGACATGATTTAATGAGAATTAAATTCCTTTTTGCATGCAACAAGACACGAGCAACATATGGTAATACCATTAATGTCTGAAGAGACTATAATGTATAAACACGATAATTGTYAGAAAAAATCTGAATGTTTATAGTTTTCCAATTAACTTTGGAGGGAAAATAAGAAAGGCTTGACATTGAAGGTTGTACTTTAGTTTCTTCAAGCAAATGTCTTATAGAATCCAAATCTGACAATATGTTGACCTACAGACACATTAACTCAGGGAGTAGAACTCGTATAAACACTCCTTTATAATCCACTCCACAACGGACTCAAAACAGTCTCTAAAGGTAGAAATACTTATCATGGGAAGCTGCCAGCTTTGAAGGTGATAGTGTAACTAAGTATTCTATCTGATCAAGTGAAGATTAAACCCTGTTTTATCTTGAATAGGACTATAGAAAATAAGATTAAAATAAATTGGGAAAATAACCTAAAGATTTGCTTGATAACAAACCCTTTTTGGAGGCTRCAATTTTATCTACTAGACATAAGTTGCCTCAATATCATAACATCAATATTGATTGCCTGAGGCAAGAAGGTTGTTTTTGGAACAAAGACTGTATGCTACCAAGCAGCTAGCAAAACTATTCCCAGCAGAAATAATTCTTTGTTTATTCAGTTGTGAACCAAAGTAACAATCCATGACATGTTGACACTGTTCAACTCATCGATTCCACATACCAGTACAACCAAAAAAAAAAATTCCCCAGGAAATGATAGTATTGTTAGGTAAATTACAATCAGTTTTTATCAAGATWTAGTAGGAAGGGTGGGATATTTTTAGAATACCTCCAGGAAATAAAAATTTCAGACAAAACAGATTTACAAGAAGTGATACACTAAGCTCTGCCAACAACTCATCATTTGTGATTACAAAAACATAAATTTGAAGTCCAATCGTGTAACTGGTACATCAGCTCGATGGATTTTTACTTCGAAGTATTCATATTAGAGCTTTACAAGATCTGATTCAACAGGTCAGAAGCAAGCATTAGTCTATTCGAATGGTTTAAAGGCATAATTAATTGTGTACGACTATGCAAACACTGTGGGCAAAATGATAAGAGAGTGAAAGGCCAAAGAAAAATGATTAGTATCTAATTGGAACATCCAGAAGTACCCTTCAAAAATGCCTCATGGTGAGAATGTACAGGTAATAGTTTGAAAATAGCACAGCTAAATCACATACAATCATGGGAAGACTTTTAAGTCAAAATACAACAGTTTGTATGCTCTGTGTAAATTCCGATGAACTTTGTAAACATTGATTTCTAGAGGTGAACAAGATGTTGACACATCAACATGCACGACTTCGTATATTCACTTCGTTTCAGCTCATAATCACTACACAAAATTCACTTTGCCCAACAATGCCTATATTCAATACAAAACCTTTATGTTAAAGCTGTTATTTYACTAAAACAAGATACAGATTAAACAGCTCTGGGGACACGTTCACACGAACTGGCCTMGGTTTTGATAACTMCATAATTTTATATGCGGCATTCAAMAATTCCTCAAATAATGACAACATCTTGGGCAAAGTCAAAATATATTACATTAACATTTGTAATTTGTATTTCAAAGTTCTCAGACAGGGTTAATTAACAAAACCATAGAATACATCGCGTAGATGGTTAGTCCAAAAAAATGCTTTTCACTATTAATAAATGAGTGGCCTCAAAATTACATTCGCGAACGAAGCCCGAAGACAACCAACGATAGAAAGAATGGAGTTCAAGCTGTGAAATCATTTCAGTCGAAGTCTACGAGCCATTTTGTAATAATGCACAATGTAATCGCCAGAGTTATCGTGATTTTATAGGGGTGTTTTACAGGTCTTTCAGTCAGCGAAATGTCAAAATTTTCATTCCGAAACTAATAGCGTGATTTAAAGCTTCGTAAAGACGCGCACTAAATAAATTCATCGATGCCTCACCAGATTTTACACCACAAAATAATGCGCTTTGTAAACCGAAAGTCCAACGCACCTTAACTGAAATGTTCTCATAATTCAGAATGGTGCTTCAGAATATTATGTACAACTACTTACTTCGGCTCTTTTGAGCATCTCCCACTTGTTCAAGGTTTTCATTGCAAAAATTCGATCAGTTGATTTGAGTCGAACCACAGTTACCTGTAAGTCAGAGWGAATCACATGAACATATGGTTCCAAASTAGCATCATAACACCAAGACTAGATAAGCTATACCTCGCCAAATGCTCCTTTTCCTATCAAACTYAGGGGCTCAAAATCTTCCCTGTGCAGTCGTAGTTGCTTGGTCTTAGTAGCAACGGGTTTCACTGTGAACGGAGAACGCATAAACTTGCCTTTAGCAGGGAATCTAATGCACACACTATACATTGCAGAAACAAAATAAAAACTTCAGTGCAACCCTACCATATTCAATAAACTCAGAAATGTTCTTATCCCGACGGAGAGTCGAGTTGCAACACTCGTCGTATAATAGAAGCAACACATCAAGCAATGTTTCCACACTGTATGAGCCATTTTCCTTGCTTCCAAAGCTAAAAAGCTGTTCAAGCTGCTTCAATCGTTCTTTAACAGGGTCAGAAGCCATGTCTTCTTTTGTCTACGCAATAATTAGAAAGTGGTAGAGCTGGGCGGACTACCAGATTCACCATACACATTCTCTATATGGGTTTTCTTCCTACTCCTGGTCCACACATCACAACTTAAACACTCATCCAAAATTCCRAGGGTGCCGCGACCTTTAAGTAATTTCCTCTGATTGATTCCCTCACGTGAAGGCAAAGACMTTCAAAGTTTACTGCAGTTTGACAAGCACCAAGTTTGAGCCAATCTTTATATAATATTCCTTTAYAACAACAATGAGTGTCGCTGGTCCAAGTCACAGGAAGATGGCCGCTCCAGCACGCTGGGCATTATGGGTAAGCCAAGCCTACATTCCAAATACGTCAGTTTTGAAAACACACCAGTGCACTCTGGGTAAAATTCGATTTATAGGGAAAGAAATGAAGTGACACTTAAGAATRTATAAAAGTGAAATGCTCAAGTTTGASCGTACTCGGATAAAAAKGTGAAATATTTCATTGAAATTTTCATTGTTTTCAATATTTTGGTTGACTAGCCACTGACAAAAAAAGGTTGAAGATGAGCTTAGGTGAAAGAATAGATGGTCATTTCATCCTTTTTAATCGCCTCCTATTCCATTCTTTTGCAAAATCGTTCACAAAATCATTCACACAGGATCAGGATTTTAACTGATCAAAGAGCAATGATATACAAAGAGTGTGTTAAATATACTTAATAAGATATTGCGCTGATGTACACTTATTTTCCTAAATGTTGTAATCCATTTAACAGTTACAAAGTGAATGACCTCTAAGAGAAATTGCTATAAAATACAGCTTTTTAAAAAATATATCAAGTGTATTCAGGGGTTTAAATGCAGTGTGGTGCACCCGCCTCAATCCCAAGACTAAACAGAAACCAGTCACTAAACCAGGCCTTTTCATTCCAGATAAACAGCTATTCAATAATACAATGTAGACCAAACAAAGAAAAGGAAAGTTTTTAATTCAAATTCCTGTTCCATCTGACATGGCATTATTATTCTTATTAATCTTATTGGACATTTGTTCATAGAGAAAGTCATCCAGGAAATGATTGTGCAATCATGTCTCAAAGAACACGAGTRCACACTCCGTGACAACAGGCACTGTAACTTTCACAATCTACATTCTAAAAACTTTGATAACGCTCACTTTACAATATACAACTTGCATGCCAAGATGCACTTAACTTACAATAACCACAATGTTGCAGAAATGGAATACCTTCTGACGAGTCATACATGACTTTTATAGTAGAGTGCATTCGTTATATTTGCAAGACACTTTGTAACAGAATGTACAATATTATACAATAGAGGAACTGCAGATACAGCRAATGCACTCTATAAAAACAGGACTAAAAGAAATGGTACTACTCCAAATTGTTAAAATAATTTTATGACAACCATCAAATTATAACCTCCACTTGAAAATAATTTCTTTGGAGCTTGTAAACATCCYTTTTTCTGATAAACAGTTTCAGAAACCAAACGAAAGTTTGAATTTGATGGCGAGGATACAGCTWGTTTCCTTCAAAACACAATGAATATTGAAATGAGAGGGTAGTGACCATCAAAYGTATCGTGTCTAAGGCATTTTGGTAAATAATTTACAGAAATATTAGCCTTACACTAATAGTTGCAGTAAAAAGAAATGCTATTTAGTAGCGTACCTTATTTCAGTTGTTTTTCAAGCATTGCAATCAAACATTTGTAATACATGGGTTTTTTTGCACAGTAAGAGCTTGTTCACACTACAAACTAAGCATAAGCTCAAAAAACAACTTACAACTGATTTAGGGATTAAAATGGATGAAAAAGACAAAGGAAAGTGTTTTTCTTTGTTTATTTTTTGTCTTATGCTTTTTGTCTTATGTTAATTGCTTATGTCAGTGCACCCTTGACTTCATTCCTATGTCTTTTCTTTAATTCACTATTTCTGCTTAGCCATAATGTCAACTAGCCCCAAGTGCAACAACTTGAACAAAAGATGTTTATGAAAATATGCAATATCCAATTTAGGTTTTCCCATTTTTCGTCGRCTTTGAAAAGCTTACTTCTCTGATGAACTCTTTAACAAACTCATATCATGATAGTCTCTTAATTTATTAGATGAATATTAAAATTTTGTAGGTGAACACAGTCCCTTTCTTGTATCTTGAAAGGCTGATTACAACCATGGGTATCAACTTAACACAAAATAATCCTACAGGGCTTTGTAAATTATACTGTACTCAAATGAATTAACATATATGAGCTTCTCATTGAATGCTGAAAACACATCTATGTATTTAACAGGAAAACAAGGACTATCTTAGTGGGTATAACATCCCTCCTGTCAATCATGGAATAATGATCACAGACTGATGATAACACAGGAAAACATTGTCTTAGGTAAGTGACTTCTTATCAGACTCGGCTAATAATTTCTCAAGGGTCTTKGTAACTTCTTTCATTGATGAAATCCTGAAAATAATTTAATAATAAAACTATTAGGATAAGTAATATTTTTGTTATCTTTCTTCTAATATACTACATCTTGCAAAGATGTATAATGTGGCAGAAACTTAACATTCAAATTCATATGAATTTTTATCCTGGTCAAAATGACCACTTCTGAGCTCTTACCTTTTTGACCCAGCATTAAGCGTTATATCTAGCAAATCTAATTGTGAGTTCAGATGAAGTTGCTGGATTTGGACTTTACTGGCATCGCTAGAACTAGAGTATCCTTCATCATTCAGTCTCTGGACCTACAATTAAAATCCTCTCAAATTCAATGATATTATCAAACTTCTGTACCATTTGTAACATAATTCCTTTACAATTATTATTCCTAATTTCTAAGTTTTTTGGTATTTTAAATAATTAGTGGTCTCAATGTTTACTAAATTTTTGATTGAATACAAATATCTAAACAAAAGAAAGCTGGTAGTTTATCATTAAGGAGGATCTACACTGAAGGGGTTTTAATAAATTTGGTAGAAGGTAGCTGTTCTGAAAAATTAACGTATTATAAGGTTCCACAATCATTACCACCATTTGGCAAAAGTAGCCATTCTAAATGACAAAATAGATTCCGGATTTAGCTGGTTCCTGTCTTCTAATGAAATCCCTGTGATCACTATTCTTTACAAGGATGGAMGAACATCAATGCATACCTGCTTTTCAATGGCTTCTGTTGGCCAATTTATTGCATGATTTATAAGGCTTTTGTCTACATGTTTTGCAAGTGCTTGTAAATTGAGGGCAGGTGTAGGTTGCTGCGGTACAGGACTGACTGATGATGGHGATATCTGAGCTGAATTTGGAGCTGATGTTTGTACATGGGGTAAAGATTGGAATTGTTCTTTYGTATTTTGACTGCTTATTATAGGAGATCCGGGGGATTGGTTTATTCTATCTTTAAGAAGAGCAGCTGCTACTGGCTGAACTGCAGTCTGTGTTATTGCATGGAAGGACTGCTGATARTTGCTTATTGCATGGTTGCGACTCTGAGGATGCAGAAAAATAATTATATTTAGTCCACATAAATAAGAAATTTTGGATGGGGCAAAACTTTGCAATACTGTTCTGGTATGTTTTTGTTTGTTTTGTCAGCATTCATAGTTTAAGGGACATGGTCCACTAGCATGCAATGCGGTTGTGTTTTAGATTTTTCATATATGGAAAATGAGGTGACTTCGAATATCCATTTGCAATCCATTTCCATCCATCGGCTTAACGGTCGAATCTTAAAGCATCTTGATTCATATAGGATAAAGGAACAATAAAGAGTAAGTTTTTGCTTATATTACGATGGATTTCTATTTTCAAACATAAACAAAAGCTTGAAAGGGATGCTGGTGGACCATGTCCCTTTAATATACTCTTTACAAAATGACTTGGTTAGTTTTTATCATACACAGTACAATTTCTATTTTATTATTGCTCATTATCAGCACATTTTGCAAGTCAAGCAAACAAGGCTCTCGTGATATACCAATTATTGACTTAAACATTAGACCTCTTACCTCTGAAAGTTTCTTTTGATGCAGCAGTGTAGCTTGTTGTAAGGGGTGCAGTACAGGACGCGAATTAGTATCACCATCATATGAAGTCTTTAATTGACTGGCCGTCAGCATACTACCATTATTTACAAGTCCATATTGTGTTGAATTATGAAGAGGCTGGGCCATATTATGAAGTGGTTTGTTATATTGTTGAGAATTTACAGTGCAACTAGATGATACCTGGAGCATTACTCCATGCCTTGACAGTCCTAATGGAGATTGGGAGTTTTGATAAGGTGTGCTGTGGGGTGAAACCGAGACTAACTGTGGTGATGAGGTGTGTGAGCCAGTATCAAATATGCTTGCTCTTGAAGAAGGAGTAGAAGGGGGAGATACATCTTGAAGACTTCCAGCTGGAGACACTATAATAAMAAAACAATGAACCTTTTAATATTAATAAAACTTGAAGCCACAGTAGTAACATATATCTAGCAGTGTGCATCAGCTACTACACCCATTAGAGTGCCCGCCACGAGAGTGTTAAATAATTCTTAACTATTTAGTTCTAAAAGTATCTAGTTAGAATCTATTCAGTCATTAACTTAGAAATCACTAAGGCATAAATACAATGGCAAAGGCACCTTTTATTTTCATTGCACTTCTTTTGATATTAGTCAATGTGTCTAGTATACACCTTGGTGAATTCTTAGTTAATGCATAACATAGTTGATAACTACATTTTATTAGGATCTAAAATATTTCAGAATTATTTCGCACTTTTGTGGCATGCAAATCTAATCTTTATGAAAATGTTATGTTTAAAATCATGTAAACTCACCATCTGAATTGACTGCAGCCAAAGGGGTTGACCTGATTTAAARTTAACCTACAGTTAGTTCACATCCAAGTACATGCAGTCACTTACTACTTGTCAAATTCAGCCCTTTCTGCAAATATCAACCTATTTATCGCTGTGAATTATTCCTCATACCTATGAGAAGCAGTAGACTGTGCACTAGTGTAAGCTGATACCGTCTTRATGACCATCTGTCCTCTGTCAGATTCAGCAATTTGGTGATTTTCTCTTCCTCGGTCATCAACAGGAACTCTATTGATGTCTCGCTTATTGTTGACAGCGTCCTTGGATGAGTATTTGGAAGCATCTGTAAAATGAAATAAAACAAAATTGAAGAGATAATCAAAGGTTTGGTTATCTTTCAGCTCTATGTAATCTATGGAATTATCAAAGTGTTTATTTTTTTCATATTTTTTTTCTTTTTTGTTTAGCACTAATTTCTAGAGTGGTAAYGAGTGGGCTAAGGTTAAAGTAGAATTTATACAGACACTTTACTATACAGTACTTACAAGTTCTTGACTTCTCATATGTTGAATCATCTTTGCGYAAACTTCCGTCTTTACTGGAAACTGAGCTGCGAATTCTGTCTTTGCTTTCTTTCTCTTTCCTTTCCCTGGAATAAGAATCACAMTACTTATATGATCTGATCAAAGACATCATCATGAGTACCATATCTAGCTACTTTATAGTGGATATTGGCTGATAACAAAACGAGCAGGGGCCTAGGACTGAACATTTTAAAAGTGATACAATCTTACAGAAATCTGTTGTCGATAGACAAAGCACTTATAAATTAGCTAAAGTTTAAAGTTTGAGCAAGTTTAAGTCATTAGAATTGGGAATAGAATTTTTCAAAAATTTTGAAAATTACAACGAATGTATGTTTGGCTGGACACTTTGGCTGGACACCAATGGTACATTCCTTTGTAATTTTGGCATGGTTTGAATGTCCGTAACTTTATTGCTGTACGTTCAAACATCATGAAACTTAGTCAGTAAGCCTTTTATATGGTGCTCTCTCACATGATGGGGTTATTCTTTCTGGAACCATTATTTAATTAGATTTTGAAGTTCGGACTCAGTCCCTTTTTAATTTTTTTATCGGCCAATTACAATATAWGGTTTGCACTTGAGTATAAATCTCCTTCTCATTTACTTATCTATTTAACAACCACCTACCTTTCAATCCATTCTTTTGGTTTCTCCCACTGGGACTTTTCAGTCTTGAAATTGTAGTAATATACCTTTCCTGATGAGCTAATATGTTGAGACCAAGGAAATTCCTGGAAAAGGACCAGCACATCAATGAATTAAGGAAACACATGTGTGCCACTTACTGACCACTGGTTGAAAAGGATAATTGACATACAATTTCTATATATGGCTGTAAATGTACACAGCCCTGATGTACACACATAAAGGCTCTCATGTAGACATTATGTGATAAAGAAATTCTCAAAAGATTTAAACTTAAACTGAAAAGTAGTTTTGAACTGCAAACATGAAGATTTGAACCCAATACTTTGTATTGCCTAATTATATTTTACCAGAAAACTATAAGGAACTTGAAATGTGTAATGCCGTGCCAACCATTGGAATATTCAAATCTAATTTGCATCTCATTTCCTTATTTTGAACAATTAAATTTACCCCATGGAAAACAAGAACTGGCCTTAAATCTCTTATCCAATGGCCAAATTTTCCAAACACGGTCATAACGTTCGTTTTCGAATTTTTAATGAGCTTTGAATAATCCAACGCTTAGTACTAAAGAAATGTAYGGGCGTTATACGTTTCAAGTCCCTTACCAAGTCCCTTACAGTATAGGTTTCTGATTTTACCTAAACCTAACAATTAAGCTATGAGATCAATTTGCTTGATTGAACCTGAATTTTTGTGATTATATATGAAATGGTATTCATGATTATCAAATTCATTAATAATTCATAAGGGAAACACAATGGAAAWTCAGTGCCGTGACCGCATCTTTATATGAGCAAGAGATTTGTCCTGATTTGCATACGACTTTAACTTCGATTTTCTCTTACAAATGATATTTTATCCTGAAGTTTTTTTTCGAAATATGCTTTAGCTTATGTTGGAATTTGATAAGCAATATAAAATATTCGCGTCTGACCTTTATGGGCTATAAAACTGCTYGCTTGCAGCTCTCAGTTTTAAATGCCCATAAAGGTCTCCCGCTCATATTTTATATATTACATAACCACATCTATGTACATCAGATTGAATACATAAATATTGATAAACCTTCTGTAGGGACATAAAAGCCTTCTATGTATATGTACATGTACACCAGAGCCATGCATATGGACATCCAGGTATGCAAGTTGTACAACAAACTACTAAAGGTTGTCACTTTACTTGGGATATTTGTAAGTTACATGTCGCAAGGGATACTCCATGTTACATGAATTGACAATTAAATTATGAACACCTACCTCACCAGCACCACTATGATTGAACTTTGTACGGCGTTCAGTAAGATGGGAATTCGAGTCATGGTGAGAATCTTTTGGTGATTGACTTGACCCTTGGAGACAAAAATCTACAATTAATATCTATAAATTGACATTAATATATCGTTTATAAAGTTTTTATCAAATGGTTATCTAAACTTTGTTACGGTGCCTATCATTAAACAATYGTATAAAAAGGAGGTGTAGGAAAGTAGTTTTTGGTACAATTTGAGGAAAAAGTGCAGTGAAATTGCAGCAATAATAGCCAGTTTTAGTTGAGGAGTGTAATAACCACACAGCAAGGTATAACAGGAAGTGGATTTCTGCATGTATGTTCACTCTTACTACTGTTTGAATTTTYCAGTTAAGAATCTATACTATATACCAGTAAAATCAATGTAACATAGAAAGATATATTTGTATCAAAAAGATTCACATCTCAACAATTCTCAGGTTGCAAACATGACCAGGAATCTCTTGAGAAATAAAAAGCAAAGCTTTTGCTGCCATGTTGGATGAATGAACAAGATAAACTAATGAGGAATGCWGTGTGATCTTCATCCAACATGRCAGTGATGCTGTAACTTGCAAGTCAAGAATGACAAAATTGTAATTACTATCTAAACACAGTTACAGCTTATACTAAAATAGTAAAACAACATGGTTGAACATAAGTATTTTGAGGAACTTTATATCCGTTAAAAATCAGAAAATCACTTCCTGTGCTTAGTCATTATCTGTTTGAAGCACTTAATATATCAAAAAACAAATAACACAACGCTTTGATTAAAAGATATAAAWATAACCAAACAAATAGGCTCTCCTAAGCAGATTATAAGGAACAGAAATGTGTTTGGAAATTAATACTACATTATAAACAGGAACGATGTTCTCATGAAGATAAAAAACATGACCAGGTGTCCTGGACCTCCAMTGATCACTCATGCTCAAGTGCTTTAACAGCCCTAAGTAGTCTCTTAATGTCAAGTATATCAACGGCACAGTATAGTCAATATTCTGTAGATCTAGATATATAAGATTTAAAAAATGTGTTCCATTACAGTGAAAATKTACTTTACTTTGTACAATTGCGACCTTAAACTTTTCACGCTGCTTTGCCTCTGATTTCTCTTTTTTTTATATAAATATATTTAACAAATCGAAATCGCTGTTCTATGGTCTGTACGCTTATCAACAATGAAAATGGCGTCAGAAAATGATCAAAACTCAAGTAGAACCACGAGCGTAGCGCGTGGTAATAATATGTGGTATTTATATAGCGCCGATATCCTCTGAGTTCAAAGGCGCTTCACATGTATAGATCATTTCACACGGACCGCTGTTTAAGGCGCAATTGGCAGCCACGCGGCTTACTTAATCATGAGGGGTTAGTAATTAGTATGGGTTAGTAGTAAGGCCTAGCCACACACACCGGGAATCATTCCCTACTCTTATGCACAGTGGTGTGGGTTCTTTAACRTCCCTCTAATACAGGTTAGTGAGTGAAGTGTAGAGAGACRGGACCTCCGATTTTACGTCGTTATCCGAGAGGACGAGAAGATCTTACCATTTGCAGATGGAGAAAGATAAAGGCAGCAACTTCTCCTCAATTATTTTAAGACCCTGAGTGTTGGTCCGGCCGGGGTTTGAACCCGCGACCTCCCGCACTAAAGTCCGATGCTCTACCTACTGAGCTAACCGGTCAGCGGTGGTTTCACTGCCAAGTTTTGATCATTTTCTGGCGTCATTTGAATCATCGATAAGCGTACAGACCATAGAAAAGCAATTTCGATTTGGTTTTTTTTTTCACATAATAAAGCTGAAAACAAAGTAAAACTTTCAAAACAAAAACTGTTTCTGCTGCGCGCCAACTCCAAACGCGAGCGATTCATCATTTCATTGGTCTGTCCTACGATCAAGAACGCCTCTAGACCAATCAGTGCGCAAGAATTCTGCAAGTTATGGTAAAAATAACAATCTTGCAATTTTTACTGCCAAAACAAAATGCTAGTATTCTAAAAAATACAACAGTCAAAACAACTTCTAGCTTAAGAAATCTTCACCAGACTTGAATGGCCAAACTAAATTTTTGACCAGACACTGCCTTTTGACTGCCATCTATATAAAAAACGTTTGATTTGGAAGACTGCCTCTTCGTCATGTCTGGAAATAGGTCCCTAGCAAACTTTGGTTACATATGTTGACACATATGTTCCCTTAMTAGATAAATGAACTCATCAACAATCAACAGCCTATGGAAACCATGATAGTTTGCAGACACCAAGAATTGGTTTATAATAAAATTATTCCTTAGAATAAAGACATGACATTCRAATGAATATCAGCCTTTCAAAGAGACAGTAAATAGAAAATTAATACTTCATAAGCAACAAATTAACTGCTTATGAAATACAATTTCTATTACTGTTTGTAGATTGTTATTGTTTTTCCTTGTAAGTAAAGAAGTTATATCCTTCCTCATTGATTGCTCCTTGAAAGCAATGTCTAGTGAATTCTCTACARTAAATTACCACTTTTGACACTCTATGAAACCTTCTCTGTCGATTCCTYGATTATACCTACCCTTCTTTGAACYATCTTTTGATCGAATATAAGAAAATTTGGATCTCTGTGACCGGGGTGAGAGGTTTGAGTGTCTGTTAGAGAAGTAGGGAGAGTTGTCCTTGCTGTTGGATCCGCTTGGTGATCTGTCTCTGTCTCGACTGTCCGCAATGCAATTTGCTTGTTTCTTGTTCTGCAATATCAAATAATACCGATTTTGACTTTCTTGCTCTTTAAGTTTAATTGACACGCCGGAAAATGTAAGTTCAATKATGTTTCTCCAAACTTTTACAAGTAATTTTTTGGCTAGCCAATTTTTCTTACCTGATACGGGTGATACGGACTTCTATCATGGTACCTATGAAAATGAAATGAAAAAGTGATAGTCAGAAAAGTTTCTCTTGTTACTAGGATATCGGTAAGCCTTAATCTGGGTGCGATTTCCCAATAACAGTGTAAGAGTTTATCAACAAAAAAACATGGCCGACATTGCTGATGACAAGATCTCTTATTTGAGCCCYAACTAACCCGTCCGATAGTCTTGGGTATTTCCTATTACTCATCAAAACTGCCAGTTTGGCCTTTTGGAAAGGGTTTCCTCCCTATTTTGAGTCGAAATTGGGATAATTTCATCAAATAAAAGTGGAACATAAATTCTGAACACATCACACTGCTTTCAAGTCGCCATTACTAGCTTTGCAGGCTTTCGTGGTCATGTGACCTAAGTGTCGACGTTCGTTCATTTTAACCAATCGGAAGTCCTAATTTAATCAGCTGACCATTCTCCACAGGGAACCCACCGGAACACATGTCTACAATGTTTCAATCTTCTGAGATATGCTGGTGGCCGTTCGTAATCACGCAAGAAGAACAATACGTTTTCAGATTGAACATAAAAGTTAATTAATTAACTAGAAAGAGCTACAGAGAAAGCACATCATTTGAACTTCTGAAAGAWAAAATATATAATATTAACGATATCCAAAAACATTAGATTAACATTGTAGACTTTTTTTACTAGTAAAATATGATAGAATGATGGAATAACATTATCATAATTATGCAAAGACATTGCACAAATGTCAAATTAACACTTCGTGATGCCCGCCCATTGTTACCAAGGAATACAAAGCTCTTGTTATTATACACGACAAATAAATTAAGAAAAATCAGTTTATTTTATATGGTTTTTGATTTATTAACGCAAATTTTATACTTACCGAAAAAAACTCGCAAAATTACAAGGATGAGCACTTTTAAATCCTTGTATCCTTACCAAATAAAATTCATGTACTATTAATTTGCCATTCAAAAATATTATAGCTTGCGTAGCCAGGCGTTCCTAGCCCCTCCGAGTGAGTTTAGGCCGAGGCTAAAAAATTATTGCACGTATGCAGCACATTTCTCGGACCTCCCCGCGGCCTATGATCCCTAAACTATCCTGGGTACTAGCTTCTCAAAGTCGATTTGACCTCTGGTATCTTTTGGTACCCAGAAATATCTAATTATCAGGACAACTATAAAGGGCTACAGTTTTAGACTAAATTTTAATAATGTTACGAATACCACGTTTAATAACAAAGCAAACTTTTGGCATCAAATGGATTCGATTTAGAACCATGACGACCAACACAGATTCCGTGACTCTGTCCGAACATGAAATTCAAAGTTTTCAAAGAGATGGTGCCATTTGTCTTCGGGGTAAATTTACACGGGAATGGTTAGAAAAGGCTAAAGAAGGAATCCGCAAGGTTTACAGTGATCCAAGTGAATATGGKGAAACCATAACTCGCGGAGATGCAACCGGTAAATYGGTTTATTTTAACGACTATATGAACTGGCAAAGAGTAAGGGAAATATCAGATTTCGTATTCCATTCTCCCGCTTCCGGGTTGGCAAAACAGCTCATGTCGTCACAGGTAATCATCAACTAATAATAATCTTCATTATGTAAATATTTATTTAAGAAAGTTATTTTAGGGTCATGGGCTTTTCTTATTTTGTAAGATTGCATCAGATCCTCTAGACACAACGACGCGAGACTGGGGCCAGATGTAGCGCATGTGGATCCAATAAAGGAACACAACAACTCCCAGCAATAGCATATACAACATTTTGTTCAACTAATTCACAGCCTCTCCCCCTCCCCCCAAAAAAGGTATGTACACACAAACTTATCTTGATATGACAACCATATTTCAGAAAGTTGCCTTCTACCATGAGCATGTATTTGTGACAGAGCCTGGAACACATTATGCTACTCCTTGGCACCATGATCAATCGTATTACCCGATTGATGGCTGGCAGGTATAGTATAATATATACATATTGTACATTATACCACACTGGTTTGCAAAAAAAAATGATTTTCATTGGAAAACTATAAGAAACATACTCAAAAATCAGGGGTTTTTTGCAGTGTAGGAAAATGATTCTAAATAAATAATATGTATTAAACTCATGTCTAGTTAAATTACATTATGTATCATTGGTTTCTGACAAGAACTGTTCATTCTGGATGCCACTAAGCAAAGTATCAAAGAAGAATTCAATCAAGTTCATCAAAGGATCTCACCGCTGGGGCAAGTGGTTTATTCCTATAAAGTTTGAAACTTTCCACAACTATGACACAATGGAAGAAGGACGTCAGCATGAATTCTCTGAGATGTTTGACATTGATGGACAACCAAGCAAGTATGAAACAATGTCATGGGACTTGGAGGTATATGTTGCATGTGCAATACAACTTAATGTCAAAACATTGTCAGGCTAGAAAAGGTTGCATCATTGGAGCTAACACCACAAAGGAACATGGAAAGGCAAATAATTAGCACTTSCTRCACTAAGATAATCAAGCCCTCTGCTACAAGAAGTGTTAATTTTGAAAAAATCAATTTTCTGAGTACCCAAAATCCCTTCTGTATTATGGTATTACTTTTGTAGCTCTAATATTGCTATCTTGGTAAAACTGATGTTTTGTCAATTTGGTATATATGACTGGTTGAGATACAGTTGAGATGAGCTGTATGGTAAAACATAGTTTGGTCCAATGTTACTTTACAAAWATTTTGTCACAAAATTTTTAAAAACACAAGATGTGCATATTCTTTTTTCACAGCCAGGTGACTGCATTGCCTTTCACATGTTGACAGTTCATGGWGCTCCACAAAATACAGATGAGCAYGGCCGCCAAGTTTTGGCCTCACGCTGGCTGGGTGACGATGCTGTTCTTGCAAAAAGACCRTGGGTTCCATCACCTCCAGTCTTTCCAAAGGGATATAAAACTGGAGACTCAATTTTCAATTTTCCTGACATGTTTCCAGTAGTAGTTAGCTAGGCCTTTTACTTTGCACATTGTTTTAAATTACAATACCTTATTCTTTATAAACTATTTTATAGTCAAAAGTGTCATGGGAGCATGTAAATACATGGTTATAACTTCATTATTTTAATGCTATTGGAATATTGTAAATAGGTCTCAAATTCTTCAAAAAGGTTCAACTAAGAATCATTGTCATGCAAAATAAATGAATTACACTTTTCGAAAAATAGTCCAATGAATATAAGTACGTCAGCTCTAAATAGAGATGAGGTCACGTAGTGTTATACAATTAACTTACTAATTAAGTTTTGCATCATTTCATTGTAAAATACACTACTATTTATTATTGGTATATATTGTATAAAGTATGGAAATGACCCTTACTGTCAAAATTACTAAATACACATTGAAATAAAAGCTTTAAATGTATAAAATCATGGCTGTACATGATAGTTTTGGTTCAGAAAAAGATAGCCTTCTATTTCAGTTATCAGAAAATGAGTCATGCCTTTGTCTACGCWGGTTCTTTACCTCTTTCTTCTTACTACTGCTCCTTGAATTATCATCAGATGAATTGTAACTCTGTTTCATATTTCTACTATATCTATCACTTCTTTTTTTCGAATCGCTGTCATCAGAAATAGAATCATGCCTTGTTTTTGATGAGTACSTTYGGTYCCTTCCCCTATCTGAAGAATCGCGTCTTTGTCGGGAAGAGTGCAGCCCACTGTTCCCAGTTTTATTCTTTGACAACAAATCAGAAGATTCCTTCCTGTTTGTCTTAGAAYTTTTGGATCCTCTGGTCTTAYGTTCATCATGGTCAAAATCTGAATCATGTCTCTTGCGTKTTTGAAAACCTTGATCTTCTGCACTGGATTCACTATCATGTCTTCTGTGCTTTTGTTTCTTTCTAGAGCTATGTTCATCCTCAGAGCTTGAATCATGTCGCCTGCGATTTTTTTGTGTTTTATAAAAATGTTCTTCCTCTGAACTTGAATCACTGTCATTATTTCTCCTTTTAGATTCTCTTTGCTCTTTTGATTTCTTTTTCTTGTGCTTCCGTTTCTCTTTCTTTTCTTTTTTCTTGCTCTTCTTACTTACTTTTCTTGRAATGTCCATAGATTGTGTAGTTTTTGTGGTGTCTTTCAAAGGTCTGGCAATTTCCTAGAGAAAAACAAACGTTCACATGGCATGCATCGTTCTGAAAAGTACTTGAGCTTCTCATTAAAGTGTTTATGATTGTCATGAAGAGAGGAATGACAATATGGCATTTTTCACCATATCCTAAATAGCAGATGGTTTGATTTTCTGTTATTTACTTGTGAAACAAAAGGACCTGAGGTCAGAGAGAGAGTGCCATAGTGGTTAGAACAAAGGACTTTCTAWATKCTTCYTTCTACCAAGTTGAATCGAATTCTGCAACCCTAATYGTCAGTCACTCTCAAAGTGTTCACTCATATTACTATAAACTACTTTGTTTCCTGTGAAGTTATTATCTTTTATTCTTAGAYAATGTTTCAGCTGATAACCAAAAGCCTTCGTCAGTTAGTAAAAAGTTCAAACTTAAGTGTTACTTCAAGTTTCTTTAAAAATACCTACCTGACCTGTACCAACAGCCGACAAAGTTTCTTTTGTATTTGATGACAAAGTATCCATGAGGCTGGCACGGTTACTGTGAAATAAAAAAAAATTGAACAAACATCATAAGATTACAGCACAATAAAATTGATTAATATTAACATTTTTAGAAGATGAAGAGGGTTCAATTGAGGCCTTGTTGCTGTAAAGTAGTGAAAAAAGGTCTGAGATTTAGTTTATCTCATGAAAATACTCACCTTCCAAATCCCATYCCTTCTATCCTCTCTATATCTTTCTCATCACGCTCAGTTTGACCTTTTTTGCAAACTTCTTCAAGTTCCTAMATAACAAAAGCAGTTGAGTCACCACTTTTTAGGGGTCCACACTCTCTCAACAACCTAAAAATGTGCACGACAATGATTCCGGTAATGCTACATGAAGATACCTGTCTAGTTAGCTGTTGTGTCTGCTTCTTGACAAAACCATGGCCTCTGTTAACATTGAAAATTTCATGTAATAAATTTAAGATGAATTATGTTCATGATTTATATTAGCAAGATCTACTCTGCTGCAATTGGAGCTGCATCCATGGTATTGAGGGGGCCAACATTGTTACAGGTTGACTGTTCAATGGTTTCAATGTTTAGGTTTTTGTAACGCTCCCTAATTTTATCATTTATTATTGTATTGCAACAGATTTAAGGACTTGAATGTTTTCCTATTTTCTAGGGCTTTTTAAGTGTTCTTGAAAAATGAGTTTTCAATTCCAGATCTCTTCAAGGATTTCAAGGAGTGCCACGAACCCTATGCCACAAACTGTAATATGATAGAGCTTATAGCCACTTATTGAACTGAATTGTGGGATTAATCCATGTTCTATTCTTTTCTACTTACAGAGCAGCAGCCATTGCCTCAGCTTCCATTCTTTTTATTGCATCTTTTTCCTATTATTTCACAAATTAGTCTCTTAGTAATGAGAACTATTTATTTGGGATTCTATTGGACCAATCAGGGAATGGGAAAAGTCTATCATGAGTGAATGTACAAAGGMAAAAAAGTTTACCTTTAAATTGGCCTGGCCACTACCTTTTTTATCACGAGAAAACCTTCATGAAAGATCAATATAGTTAAGCATGTAATATCGAATACAAATCAATATTAGCTTGGCAAGTAAAACAGCATTTAATACAACAAAGGCCAATCAATAGAGGCAATAATCACAATGCATAAAGSTTCAGTCACAATTTATGTGTTTTACCACTGGAGATCTTTGTTTTTTTGCCATCTTCCGACTGGAGCTTTTAGTGAGTGACCTAGAAACAAAGTAACAGAAATGATTTACAATATATAAGTTTAATCTTAAGTGCAAGGACGATTTTTCTCACGAGATTGTCGTCTAATAAAATTACCCAAATAATTCTCTCTGTGTTTATCAGATTTGATACTTTCCCATTCAAACTGATCTGCACCACCTCGAACACCACCTCTTGATGGATGATACATTATTTGTACGTTATGTAAGGTTGTAAAAACGATTCAAGTAAAACACTACCGCAAAGTCAGATTACCGCCATATTGAAAGGCACTGGAGGTGAACGGCCATTCGGSTACACAGGAAATCCAAAATATTCCACAGATAACCCAGTCAATTCAAAATTTTATACAGATTCTGTTTGCATCTATTATGTCAAATCCTGATAACTATATCAGGAGATTTGAGTGACTAAGTTTTATATTTCATTAATTTTATTTTTCTACTCCTTTTCTATGCTCTCATTTCATCTTTTCATACTATACCTTAGCTTACCTCCTAACCTCATTCCCAGGTACTTTGAAAAGTCAAAGGACTCAAAGGTTCTGAGTTCGTCCGACAGTTTGTCCTACGAAGGTTGCAAAAAGGAAGATGCATCAATTATGTAACTTATTTGCAGAGTTTGTTGACTGCTTTCAACGTAAAACGCTCTTTTGGTAAGAGATATCGCTATATCTTTGTAAGTCTAGCATTTGACTTCCAGGCAATGTGAGAAAGCCCGGCAAAAACTACGCAGCTCTGCTCGTAAGGTAAGTTTGTTAGTTGAAGTTTATAACATTGCTATTCACTGATTTAACTGTCCTTATCCAGAGGATAAAATGTAGACAAAARCTATTGAGTTATGAATAACTATTGCTTCGTGTCAACCGTCGACCTCTGTTGTGCTGACGGGCGAGGATGATCACCCACAGTTGTTGGACCTTGATGTGGATCCTGTTTATAAAACTAAAAAAAGTCTTTCAACATGGGACAGGAATCAAACTCAAATTCTTGATTTTTATCTATTAGGTAAAAATGAAAAACTTGTTATTTTAGGTCTGGCTATCTTTTTTACGTCCTCTTTCACAACACTCAGSTATATTTTTTAAGAGTAGTTTTGGAAATCCCCAAAGGATCAATTCTCAGTTAAAAGTTCCTACAGCTTGCGGAGCGGCCTTAAAGGGAATGGGGCGGGTATATTCGTGAAAATGATAATTTGATGCTTTTCATTTTCACGAGGAAGTCTTATCATATTGAAGTAAAATTTAAGATCTAATTTAAAAAAGAAAAATGAAAAAAAGAAGAGCATGTCCGTACTGGGACTCGAACCCATGACAATAAAATCGAAAAAGGTTGGGACGATTCCCCCGAGACATTCTGTGAAGCTGAGGCGGCGAATCGATTTACATTCCGGTTAGAGATTTCGGCTCTTCCATGCTATCCCGATAATTGGTCCTAACTTCGCGCTAACTAAAAAGCCAGTGAGGGAGAAGCTATCCGGCCCCTAGACCATATGTGGATAACCCCTTGCACTAACTAGGCAACTATCGAAAGTATAATGTCAAATTGGGGTAGTCTATTCGGTGAAAGTGTCAAGTGGACTATTATTATGCAAATGAGTGTGGTCCTGTGGCGCGTCGTGTTAGGGCGCTGTGTACAAAATCCGATGACGGTGTAGTGTAGTAGCGGATCTAATCCAGACAATCCAGGATGGCACATGATAAAAATCTTACATTTCTCGTGTTTTTATTTTTTATTATCAATTTCTTTGTTTTTTATTTTTATTGTCATTATTTGCATTTGTAACATAATATAACATGATAATAATTGTATGTTTCTCGAAAATTCCATTTTTTGCATCTCGTTGTTTCAGTCTTTTGGGCTACCTGTATCGCTCTTCAAATGTCCTGGGATCAAACCTTTCAATTTGTCCAGTTTATGTGGTTTATATCTTAATCAGTTTTTCGTAAAAAGAAAGACACTACTCAGTTTTATTCTTCTTTTGTTGAGATAGTCCAAGGTTTCCACAATCGTGGCATGTCATTTTTCTTATCGTGAACAGATATTCGTCGACATTTGAGCATCAATATCAAGCACACGACCAATATAAAAGAGATACTGAAGACATCTCCACCTCAACTACCCATCAAATAAATTTGCACAATTCGTTCCTTGAAGATATGCATTATAAATCGACCAAATATTTATATGAAAGGATCAGTAGGGTTTCCAACAGATTAGCTTTATGGTTTATTTTAAAATTGAGGAAAAATAAAACATCCGACTGGGAAAATTGTTGCATTCATTAGGAGCGAAAAATCAGTGAATCAAAAGGTTTTTGTATTCTTTTMAATTCAAATTGTTGGCATTTTTGTTTCGTTCGCTTTTGAAATCTGCGCGAAATCATGCACTGCCAAAATGGAGTGTCTAATGATAGACACTCACCTAAAATTCATATTTAGAACGTAATGATGTTTAGAAACAAAACATTTGGGGAAATTTGTAATGARATTGTACAAATGGAAGTAAATTAGTGGCTATCGTGGTGAGCTTGTCATTTTCCAGCACAAAATCGGAAATTAAACCAAAMCCTTTTTTTAAACAAAACTGCATATATGACGTCAGAAGGAATGTTCCAAGACGCAAGTAGTTTCATTCAAGCATTGCAAAACTCTTAAATTCAAGGAAAATATTTTGARTTCTTGTTAAGAAACCAACGTGAGCTCAATTYTTTAATTAAGCGCATTTTACCCCTCTTGAAAAGGTTTTTTTTTATTGARCTCCTACTTTCAGTAAAAYGGTCGATTGATGGAAATATAAGGCGTGTACCCGAACTTGATCGGCGGGATTCTTAGTAACAACTTGCCGACATCGGTATATACATTTAAYATTCGTACAACTTCGAAGTACATTCAAGTAGATCTAATGGAAAGCTATTTTGGGACCGGTGAACGCGCATTKTTTTCGCAGTTCAGCAATTTTAAAATAAAACACTGTTCATTTGGACACCGGATATAATTCACAAACGCTCATATCTCGCAATCTGAAAAGAATTCTTATCATAACATTCAGAAATGAAATCTCAGACAAAGTGTTTCAATATTCMTTATCTGTTGTAAATTATGCCGCTCTTTCGCAATCAAAACGCCGGCTATGWAAATAATGAGGTCCTGGTGACTAGCATAGGACCGAGGCTGACACCTGTATCTGGTRTCTTATTGTTGTTTTGAGTTTTGTGTTGTGACACGCGTGTCGTTTTGAGCTCAATAAAACGTGCGCTGAGACCTAGATAATTATTGCAAAACACTRCTTTCCATTTRAAATCTGCCCTTTCCGTGCAACTTTTATTCCCCTCAGTTGTGCCAGTTTATTTTTGTGATGAATGAGTAACATTTTCTTTTCAGTTTTGTCTATTTTTTTTGTGAACAGAAAGGAAGAAGCTGTTTCGTATTCAAACATGTACTTTTCYATTCCCACAATAGCAAACGCTAAAGCATTGTACTTCCGCAAGCACGGACACAATTTAAGGTTTGAAACTGAGAGTTTTCAGTTTCTCATTATTCTGAWTTTTATTCTATATTTGCCATGAAAAAAATGTTTTAGACAAATTTCCCTCTGTATTTTTATCAATGATTAAGTTGTCTGTAATAATATACACTCTGACTTCATGTGGCTGTGGCAAACCACGCTAACAGGGCGGAAATATTGGAGAAATCCCAGCCGTTGATTGGCTGAAGATTTCCCGTCACTGAAGGCGGTCATATGTCAGACTTATTTTAATGGTATCCCATGCCAACGGTCACGCTGTTACGACGAATTGTCACGCTGGGACAGTAGTGAAATCACCGAGTTTCACCACCTGCTTGTCAGTATWTGCAGCGAGGCGTCGAGAACCACACAAAAACAGAAACATTCGCCGCTTGGTGAAGATTCTCCTGTCCAACACCACGTTGTGTCTAAAAGATGGGAGCTAGTTTTTCAGTGAATMGAAAGGCCTTATTTCGGGATTGTACATTTTGGAATTTAAAGACAAGAGAACAAGCGAAGAGTTTTTATTGCAAATGCTGCTGTAATGTAAGTGAAGCAAAAGACAGCAAACCAACAAGCTTTACTTCCTGTGACAGTCTTGCCGCTTATTTGCAAAAATGTGCCAGCGTTGGAAAGAAAAAGATGAAGTCGAAAATCGAACCTGCACCATCTAAAAAACCAAAGGACAATGTATACGAAATTCAAGAGAAAAAAGATGAAAGCATTCCCAAACAAATCGTACCTGTCGCTGACACAAAACCCGACGCCGGCACGACAGTAGAAAACAGCCTGGTCAAACCTCAACAAAGGCCGAAGAGTTCAAGCTTTACTCTAAGCAGCGACGCGCTCCGATGTATAGGGAATTTCGTGAAAAGTCACTGTAAAAATCTATCGCGTCTAAGATCTTCAGAAGTGGTTCTTTGGTTGCGTGGAGTCGACAGGGCGTTGTTGATTCAAGGATGGCAAGATCAGGCTTTCTTGACTCCACCAAATCTTGTTTTTTTGTATATGTTACTCAAAGAATCGTTAAAGGACAAATTCACAAGTGTTATTGAACTGCGTGCCGAGGTTTTAACGTGTTTATACATGGCGTATACTTACAGTGGACCTGAAATAAGCTATCCTCTAAAGCCATTCTTAGTGGATGGTGATAGGGATGCTTTTTGGGATCGATGTGTGAACATGATCAACGACCACAGTGGTAAAATGCTCAGGACGAATAGAGATCCGAAGTATTTTGGTGAGCTATTGGTTGAACTGAAATGTTTCAATTCAGTTGATAGAAGAGACGGCTGATAGAATTTTTCTTATAATGAATTGGAGCTATAGAACAGGGAAGCCTTTTTTTGTATGGGTTGCTACTTCTACTTTTCTAAAATCCTCCGGCGAAATGCTAATGGTAATTCTMTTGAATTCAAGAAGTTTCCAAGAATTCTCTTTTAGAACTGTCAGTATTTGTAGAATTCGGCAAGAGTTGAACATATCTAGAAGGAAGTTGATGTACAGTGAATTAAGAATTTAAGAATTTGACTGAGACGGTGAATTTTGACAGACTGTGTGCTGCATGTAATTAAATAATTATTTCCAAAGACAGAGGATTTTTTAAAAAAGCCAGGAAAGAGACAATATATTAACTAGTAATTAATTTTGTTTCAGGAATATTGATTTTATTGTGATAATTTTAATTCATTTTCATTTTTTCAGTATTATTTGGAAAAACAAGAAAAACGTTCATAGTGATCCTTTCAGAGGGATTTTCAAAAGAAAATAGCCAAAAATGAAACAAATTATAGTATAATAATTAATGAAGTATTTCAGTTGATTATTTTAGTTTATATTTTACTAACGGCGACAACAAAAACCAAAGATCGATCGACCAGAAGTGTAAAATGCGGCACACTTTTGCATGAAATAGCTATACAAGAGAAATTACCAAAATAAGCTTTCCAACATCTGTTCAGTTGACGTTTTCTGAAAATGGAAACTTAAAGCTACTAGACGCTTGTAAATATGAGTATTGTTGATAAAAATAAAAGTATTTTTTATCATAATAGTCTCAAGAGGTCTTTGAAACGCTTTCTGATTTGGGTTAGCAAATATTTAGACTGAAATGGCTCTTCTTTTATTTCACTTACGAAAGTGAAATTCAGTGCGTCAGTTCTCGGTCTTGTTTACCAAAAACACTATATCTACATGAGTGCTATTTCATTTTCGTTTATTTTTCTTTGTGGAAAAATTGCTTGTTCAAACACTGTGAATTACWGGAGCAAATACAGGACGAAAGTTTTCTCCCAACGAAGAATTGTGAAACGTTCCTAGGTTTGACATATGSCTCACTCCGGCCGGCGATCGTTCGGTGTATGATTTCCATGGTTTTCGCTTTCTGACCACTAAAGTCAAGTTTTTATGTTCACATTCACGAGGGATGGGGTGAAAAGCCGTAAATGTARTCTGTCAAAAATGGAAGAAAGATTTCAGAGGAATTTGAGTCGGATATGGCGATAATTTTGAGTTTCGTGTGCCAGCCGTAATTAACTACAGTATATTTTGTTCAAGGGGGACAGCTTTTGACAAATTAAAGCTAATTTAGATGAAAGATTCCGAAATTCAGACCAAAGTGAAATTCTATCCCTAATTTCAATCGCTCATTTCTATTCTTAAGAGGTTCAATGTTTTTCAAAAACAATGCAAGAACATATTTCTTGTTCCAAATGAGCTTGCGATTTCCTTGAGCATTTGTGTATTACTAATTTCAACATTTAATGAAGTACTTCATGTCTAGAATCATTGGAAACTAACAACGATCAAAGAAAGTGAATTTAGAAATTTTCATTCTTTTGTGTTCACGCGGACGCTATTTAAAACGCTGAAATAATGCAATAGATGTTTACAAGCGCTTTGGCTTCGCTTCCAAGTACAAGCCTCTGAATATTTAACTCAACGTCTCTCACTGAGTTGTTTATACAAAAACTGAAAAACACCAATGACTCATGGTAATGGAATGTCTCATTTTTCATGCCAAAACTKGTGTTTTCTTCTTTTTCGCCAYACTGAATCGCTTTTCGACTTTTCACTCCGCGCTGCTTTATTAATCTACATGAATTATTAGGATACTGAATTAGARCGATATTGTGTGGTAGTGGACTTGACCTTCGCCTATTTTCACCCTGTTTGAGCACAGTGTTTTCAGCGGTTTATGAATAGATCGGGGTTAAATTCCAGCAGTAGCCATTTAATTTTCCCCCCATTATTTGCTTTGGGATTTTACAGTGTCACCCTATGAAGACAGTAACGACAGTTAATTCTGTAAGAAGATTCCGCMGRAAATTTTTTYKTWTTATTTTGCTGTAATTCCGCGAAGKTACGGCATCAATGAARTGGTTCCCTGGTAAATTACAAACAAAAGYAATAAGAAAAATCCGCAAAAAAACATGCTTTTGAACAYGGAGAATTCTAGAAAAATTATTAATCCCGGAAGCACCGAAGACACTGCTCGCACTGAACCTTTCTGAAAAGCAAGATAAGGAGACAGAACAAAAATTGAAACAATCCAATCTTGACTTTGGCCTTTGCGTTATCGGTTTTTCTAAAATTAAACATTTTATCCAGTGAACTAAAACCTWTTTTCTCTGATAAAAAATTAATTCATTACACAAATATCAAGTGATTTGACCAAATGTTGTTCATTTTTCCCGTGTTTACTCAAAGATTGATAATTCTTTTCTCTTTAGATATCAGCGCTGGTCAATATATTGTACATGATATAATGTGAGCCTTCCTAGGCTGTCAGGATTCCCAAAGCAGATTACATTGCAAATAATTCTGATATTTTCGGCTTCTTTGCTGCTCCATTTTGACTAAAACAGTGTCATCATTAGAGCATCGTTGAGTTTCTTTTTAATCAGTTCAGCAGATGGTCTGTATCGTATTGTCTAAGTTTTTATTGAATTTCCAATTATTTCATCTATATGTTAAAATACCGTGAAAAATGAAAAAGAGGTGAATTGAAGGGGTCACAAAATGATCTGGATTTTGATGTGATCTGYCGGAGTTGAACTGATTTCACGATMAAATCAGAGACAGAGTTAGTAGACTTGGGGACTAACATCTACAAACTCTCAAAAAAATAGATAGAACTCCACTTCGATGGCCCACMGTGGGWATCGAATACATCAATAAAATAATGAAATGGGATTGAATCGATCGAAAGATAGATGAGTGATGACATATCATGGGAATGTGGTCAGTGAAATAAAGGATGGGAAACGGGATCAGATGGTTGTATAAGGAGGGAGATTTGCTGGATGAATGCATAAATAAATGGACTCATTGTTAGGAAGACTGAAAAAAGGGAGTGAAAATGTTTATAGTGGTGAGATGACATATACCGCAGATGGCCAATCGGTTCGGCACTCTTTGCAATATATATCTGAATCGTACAGATTAAGCAATAGCCGTCAGTGCAATCTGGTCTAAATTCAATCACTATCTATTCTTAGTTTACTAGGKTTTTGAAACAAAACAAGGCTGCAAGATGCAAACATTACCCTCTTAAAACAAACTTTGAAAGCCGTGCATCAGCTTGCGGTCACTAATGGATTATATGGATAGCAGAACGGATCTTGACGGCGACGCAGGATGAATATTAATTMACTTAGTTTGAACCATACGAAGTGCATGGTTAATCGTAATTGTGGTTGCTGCATGGTGGGCGGTTTGGCTTTTGGTTAAACCATCATTATATTGAACAAATGAATTGCTTTTTAAATAGCTATAAGTCAAATATCCTATGAAATACTAGCCTGGAAGAGAATAGAGCCGTTTTTGGTACAACTATATATGGAAACTGCTTTTGGTAGTCGCAATGTTGTAAGGGAAAAAATCCCTACGAAATACTTCCGCGATTTTGAACYGTGATGATTTTTGTTTCATAACAAATTTCGCTCACATTTAAGAAATGTGTGGATTACAAAAGAAGTTGTGTGGTTCATTGGAGAATTGTTTTCTCGGGGCTCAATAACTAAACAAATGTATACGTTACTTTGTAAAACAACTTAGATTTTATCATGTATTGAACATTTAATTGTTAAGCTATTTTCCCTCGCTTTGTTCATAAAATAAAACATTTATGGTTTTTCAGTCTTGAATAATGCTCAGCAAATCTTGAATTGAGAATATTTCGCATGATTCCACAAAGTTAAGGCCTTCCGGGAAAAAAGATATTTCTGGTCATCATTAGTGAAATACTTTTCCGTTAAAAAGAATTCATAAATCAGCAGAATTACTTCCAAATTGAGCGATAATCATCAGTGTGGATTCATAAATGTTGAAACTTCCTTTCAMAAAACCCAAGGCTACAGGAAAGCTAGGAAGATAARGAGCCCATAGGACTAATAAACTCACATAGTCAGTGACCCAAAATATAAACAAAGTYTTAATTACAGAGGCTGAAAGCTCAAATATATGCACAATTTGTCAGATATGAAAAATGATGGTCAGAAATCATAATACTCAATTTTAGCAAGAAGTAAATTWTAACGAATAAACGTTCAGTTAATTTCTCTTCTCGAAAGAGAAGCTGATTTGTGTAACAAGTAAAATCCATATACACTTATAGCACGCGCATGCGTAATACACCTGTCCCTATATTTTCATAGATATATGGCCCTATTTTCGGTGTAATTATAGGAACAACGAGGCATGTTGAGATAAAATATGTCAGCGGGTGTTATTATTGAAAAAGACATGATTCCATACTGCGTTCTTCAATGAAAAGAAAAAAATATGAACCAAAGAAAGTCAAATATTGATATGCGTGTAAAAGATTACATATGTTTGCGTGCACAACACTTGAAAATCAAACTTTGACAAAAAACCGTGTTATATCACTCTTAATAAGAACGTTGCAGGAATAATTCAGGTTTAAATCAGCAGTTGTTCCATCCAAAAGGCAGTAGAAAGTMTAAGAAAGCACTTGGGTTTTAAGGCTAAGTGTCAGTATTCATTTGCATCATTAGTTTGTATTGTTCTCCTCAGGAACGACGGAACAACAGGAACAAGAAGGCTCATCAATGATTGCTATCAGCTTTGCTGGTCAATATGTCATCCTATTTTCACACAATAGGGTATTTGAATGAGTCCTACYAAACCGAAAGTGGTTCGTGAATTCTCTACGTCATCATGACTGATGTAAAACGTCTTACTGTGTTTTTACGCACACAATCAAGAGCAATCTCTTATTCAAATGCATCTAATCTGAAAAAAATACTTTTAAGCTCGATGCTTTGCTGTAAGTTCAATTAAAATACTTACAGACTTTCAATCAAACGAACTCCTAATTAACAAAAAACTCAGTTTGCTATAGCAGCACTTGTTAGTATTTTATTATCTCTTTTCCGGAGGGCTTCTTGTATATTGCGTAGCTATTTAGAATATTTGAATTTTTAGTTAATCTTGGTTTTTGGTTGTTTTCAAGCACGTATTCCAACCCAGCTTCTTCAGCGTGAATGACATTGTTGAGATTCTATTTCACAACAAAAACGAAATGAATGGTTTAGAACATTATGCCGTTTAAATGCCGGAAGGGCGGGGCTAGTATAATGGACCGGCCATACTTTGACAGACGCAAARTTGATTGCGAAATCACTGGAAAAAGGTTGTAAATTTGTTGTAAATATGATGTAAGTGTCCAAAATTCTGTAAATTTGATGTAAAAGATTATCATTAAATTTACAGAATTTGGGACACTTACATCATATTTACAACAAATTTACAAGCCTTTAAAGCGCGCAATTTTTTCAATGAAATGCAGTGAAAAAGCTCGGCTTTTTTAATAAGGAAAAAAGCTAGTTTGAGATATCACCTAATTACATTACATTGGCAATAAGGTAAAAAAAGGAAAGAAGTCAAAATATTATTTGTCAATAATGTGCCTATGTCGGCGAAACAATAAAATGAAGACATACTGTGATTAAATGACTTTCAATTTCACCAGCTTTCAAAAATACAAATCAGTTCTTTTTCARCAAATTTCAATTGTCACCGGTTTCTTTTGCAGATTTTTTTATGGTGATGAAGTGAATAATCTAAACATTTTGGCATTCTGCGCTTACTCCATTTTTTTTTTTTTTTCAAGAAAAATCGTCCAATGCTCCATTTTTGACCCTAAWTAACTGAATTTCTTATGTATAATAGAATGATTAGTTCCATATTTGAACTAAAACCTTCGAGCTAAAGATCGTTGATCCATGCATCAGTGTTTTTTTCTCTCCCATTTAATTGCAATTATCAAAACTGCTCCACTCAACTCAGTGACGTAAACCTAGGTTGATCCTTTGCAAAACATTGGTAATGCCGACGCCAGAAATAACCACAAGATTACTCAAGCAGTTTTGTTGGGTTATTTTGCGCAAAGATAGCCTGTGGCAAGTTTTGAAAATAGCCATCTATATGTATTTGACACAAAGTAATTTGTGCAKTTTATTATCACATTTTCGATTTCTCACATTAAGGAGTAAGAAATTGTCAACGCGTCGCACAGAAACTCAATGATATACGCGTSTGCTTTTGGTTTTTGAATTAAAAAGGATTTTGAAACAAACAAGTGTCTCTGGCAGGCGTTTTCCGAGCAAAGTTAAATAATAAACGATGTATTGTAAGGAAAACGAAAAACAATRGGAAAATTTCAATTTCACTATATAAAATTTGAATGAAAAGGGGTAAATTTGACCGTTGATTGAAAACATCTTAAATTTTGTCCACTTAGAAAACAAGACGACAAAGGYATGATGTTTGGGTTAACACTAATTAAACACGCAAAAAATTATTGTAAACAACGAACATTTTTTCGCCAACTATTTGAATTTGCTTTGACTGGATAAGAATCAAGATAATAATAATAGCAATGGTGATAATGATGTTGATCACAATAGTGTAAAAATTAAATTTTTATTGATTTAATACAGGGTATTCTAAAWTTGTAAAATTTTATACTAGTCAACAATATCGGTATTTACATATTAGGAAATGCATTGTGGGTAATAATTTTCAATGAAAAGTGTCTCAAACCCATATTGAATACCACAAAATATCATCGCTAATATATTGCCTTTATTACTCCTATATTGGATTGGATATATTAACAAAAATATATTGACATTCATCGTCAAAATGTTATATTATGCAAACCGCATTAAGGAGGTATATATCATATTCCTTTCTTTTTTTTTCTCCTTTTTCAAAACGACGTAAAATTGAGAAGAATGAACTAAATCCACTTTGCTGTGCACAAATCTTTGTATATATACTATAGTAAGAACCCAGTTCTCAGTGGCCTGCTTATAGCTGTGGTGTAGTAGGAACGTTTAGGGTATCGAGAAACGTGTGGGCGGACGAGACTTTGCTCAGACTTGTGTCACCATCCACATTACCCAAAAACTCTAGACTTATACATATTTCAAAGGTTAGTGAACCTTTAGTATTCGTGTTGAAATGAAAAATACATGGTTCCTATCTAGCTTCGTTGGATTGTGACAAACATAAAAAACACTAGTTAATCTTTCATTACAATGATAATATGAAATCGTACTGAGCTGCTATGGGTCAGATCAAAAAGGAAAGAACGATAAAATTAAGAAATCATATGAATCTAAACTAGAAATGCAGGCTAAACATGAGTGTTCATATTTATATTTTATTTTATCAAAAATGTGTATGAAATACAAAAATAATGAAGGATTTGTATAAAGCACCGTTTTCACATGCTTTGTTTAGGTAGATCATCGAATCTTTTCTGATTAACTTTCTGTTCGAGATATGATCAAATGTTTAATAACTGACTATCGAACTCTTCCCGACATGCAAAGCGTACTTTTTTTCAAGATGGCGGGATGTCAGAGTACTAAAGCGTATAGGTGAGTTTCTCTACCAAGCAGCGGGAAAACTCGAYTTTAACCATCCAAAACCTTCTATGACTGATAGTTATGTGCATTATTATTACAAACTAGTTTTATAAATAATTTCACTAAAATTATTATTCTTAAATTTATKTAAATCTCCGCGGTGAGGTGTGGCGAGTAGTCCATRTGACATTGGCGAGAAATTTGAAAATAAATGCGGGAAGAATTCGAAACGTTTGAGATTTCTGTCATAGTGAAGCACCATCCGCCATGYTCCCTCAAAAAACTCTTTCATTAGTAATGAAGACTAAATCATCAGCTACATTGATGGAGTTTTTTTCAAAAGGTGATCGGTCTTCGTTAAGTGATTGTGCCATCAAGCTAAGATACTATATAGTAATGGTATGATTCTGAAGGAGTTTAATTAATGTCACCGTTAAACTTCAGTCTCCATTACTAAAAAGACAGGCTTTGAATGGATGACGGGCGGACGATATATAAACATAGGTAGCTCTTACAATTGATTTGGCATAGTATACTTCAAAATCGTTACTAGTGTCGGTCTCAAGCCGTCACCACTCAACACAGCCGTTACAGGCGAGGATCTGGAACTGAGCCCTCACGGTGAGGACCTGGGACCAAAACCAATAACTGTTGCGAAGAAGACTTCGCAATCCGCTTTACTTCAACACAGATTAAAGTTTTTAATGACGTAGGCTTGGCTAGAAAAAAATGTRCAAACCGACGTAATGCGCATTTGATCTCTAGAATAAAATCAAGTGTTTTTTACTTGAATCCATTATGAATCTTGAAAGCACCAATTGCGGATTGCGGAAATTACGTACGCAGGTTACACTTAGCTTTTTATGTCTACTTTGYCGCGAAGGCAAACTGATTAATGGCTAGGCTAAATGAGATGGGTTTTTTTTGCTTCTATTTGTTCTTCTTTGAGTTCTTCGTACTTTTGCTGCCTGACTTTGGCCATACTAACACTAATCCGTCTTTTCCATTTGTTCTGAATTGTGCCTTTGAGTCTTTAGGYGCACTTTGTACAGAAACKGTTTTGTTTGCTTTGCCCAGAGTACAAGTGAGCTCATCTGATATTGTGATGGGAAGATGTTTGCCGGTTAATCTGAAAGAATGGGAAATAGAGATATGAATGTCTTATGTTGTTATAAATAAATCATTAGATTAAAAAAAACCTCATCACATGCGTGACTGAATTAGTGGATGTTTTATCGCGAATTGTATAATTATAGAATAGAGCCGCAGGCGAGTTCTATACCTGTCTCGTATGGTGAAGTATTGTAAATTATAGTAATTAAAATGAATTATAGTGACATTTCACTCCAGAGTATGCCGTGTATCATGGTAATGTTAAAAGCTCGATTTGCGGCAATCCTGTGTTAATTCTTAGAAAACCTATGGAGTTAACAGTTGTGTAACCCTWATCGGRGTTTGAAAWACCCAGCCCTGGATGTCAAATGTTTTCCATGAGTTTCTATCAATGCGAACGTTATCTGTTGTACAYATCGAGAATGATTTACAAAATCAAATAATGCTCGCTGCTGGCAAAATAACTCCATGCGCTACAACCTGACTTCGAGCTGGTTCAGTCGTCGATCCCACAATGCATCTTACCGAAAATACATGACGTCATAAGGGTATAAAATTTTTATTTTTCATCGTCACTTACTTGAATGCCTGGAGGTAAATGTTGGCCATCAATTCAACAACTCGGTTTGCCTTCTTTTTGCTGTGTAGACATACTACGAGGTCACCATCGGGTAATTTGACGATGATCAGTTGATCTTTGTAAGGAGAAATAGCCAATCCTGTGATCTATAAAACAAAATGGACACCAGTCTACWGTTTATCCTTTTTTGCTCAGTTTTTATGATCATCATCATCACTTGACAGTTCTTTTTTCGTGGGTCATAATTCATTATTCCCAGCTCGATTTAGAGTTCAGGTCGCATGMTATCTATAGTACTAAATGTTCAYTTGTCCTCCYCATTCTCCSMTCGGYCCTACCCAGTTCCTTTAGKGCYACTACACAGGCTAATGCTCCTGATTGGATAATCGTCTTTTTAGTTATAAATACTTAATTATTTCACGGATTACGTGCGAGAGCCCATGGAATTGTGAAAAATGATAGTTACCCTGTTTAGTGGGATTTTCCTCATCACTTTGTATTTTGAGCTGGCGTCCATCTTGATGATGTAATCATCTGTTAAGGCAATAATTCTGTTCGCAAACTTGTTGTGCTTGTTTACCTAAAGAAACAACCAAACAGATCTCATCGATTCATGAAACAAATGCAGCTGAGGAAATTGGTAGTCGAAAATGGTATCCAGTATGTACGAAATCACGCTAGACAATAGACTTCTGAAACTTTTACGTCACTACTTGATTTTCAATGCATTGTGCCGGGATCAGTTTCAAGAGAAAACAAAAGAAATCCGCCATGTTCTGTCCCAAACATATCCTACAATGCATTGCGTATACGGTACATGACGTAAAAGCTGCAGAGGTCTATTGGAACATCCGTACGCACAATTAATTATACATTGCATGCAGGCAATTTTCATTTGCGCAACTGCAGTTCAACTCTAGCAGAAGTACATGTACTTCTGACTCTAGGAACAAAACGACTGTTAGTAAAGGATAACAATTCACAAAACAGCGATTCACAGTGTTTTGTACTAACCTTCTTTGCAAAAGATGAGAAATGAACGACTGTTTTCTGGGTCGGAAGGACTTTGTGATACAAGTCAACATTACTGTCTTCATCGGACTAAAACAAGAACGACAACTTTGAGCAAACTCAATGGATTCTAAAAACTTCTAAAAACATCGGTGTTTTCTTCTGTTTTCCTTACAGAAATGAGAAAAGATCTGGATCGACTTTTGCAAGTAAAAATTTTTCAAGCAGGCGTAAAATTTAGCAAACTAAACAAAACAATTTAGACAAATATCGACCTATCATCGATAAAGCACTTCGGTCTAGAATGCATGACCCTTTTTTTGAAACCTTTGCATGCTCTTGATTGTTCACTTCCTTCTGTTGTTATATATTCGTGCATACATAACAAACATGCAGCCGCTGCTATAGTGATCGCGGGAGACGACGAGTAYRCGTCGGAAGATTTACCTTTGACAGATAGTCACCCACCCATGTTGAACGTAGTCCCCAGGATTTACGCTGCTTCTGCAAGCATTCATAGGCAATGCATTTCAGCCTCATTTCTTTCATTTGGTCTTCTGGTATCTTAGAGATTAGTTTGTACGCCCACCACCTTAAAAGGATATATGAGATAGGTGAGTAGCATTATCGTAAACATCCGTGCGCTGCGTAGGTGTTGCCATCAAAAAAAGTACCTTAAAAAATGGTGGGAAGGGAATTAAAAACGGTTAAAACAAAGAAATGTCTACCGGCATTGCGATTATTAGCCCCGCAAAGGGTTAAGTAATTGTGTACCACACTTGATAGCGGTAGTAGAGAAAATGGCATAAAACGAAGATAGAAGTAAGTAAGTGCCCTTGATACCCCTACCTTATTTAGGTATTTTTGAGATGAAAAACAGGGAAACTATCTAAAAAACGGATTACCTTTCGTAGACATTCTTAGCGTACTCTCCGAACTTGCCGACAACTGAAGGTGCAACAATCCATTCGAGGCTTCTTCCAAAATCGTTTCTGTCTTTGCAATCCCTGTGAAATTTCAACATTGCCTTACCACTAAATTKAACATTATSACCACAAAATCAACAAAAAGACAACATTAAAAACATTTGAAAATAACATTYAACAAAACACACGGSTGATTRAAGTTGTAAACAGTCTGATGACGGGAGAGGGGGACGTAAGCATAAGCACTGCTCGACGCACATTTGATGGTCTAATAGAATTGTTTCCACATCTAAGAGACCATATYAGAGATWTCACKTGAAAACATTATCCAAGSYCAAAATGAACAAAAGAGATATTCGGCAATTATTTTAGCAATTTTCGACAACTCGCTCTAACAGTTTTTTTTTTGTAAGTTCATACCTGTATCTGATACCCAACTCTTTTATGTAAGTACGTTGTCGGTGGGCCCGGAAGCAGTTCATAATCTTATACATAGATCGCATCTTTCGTACCCTAYCACGTGCCAAGCCACCGCGCCAGCACTGTACAGAAACAAGATCATATAATTGACCGATTGGTAGTGTAATCTACGCAATTTACACTTGAAATTCTAATTTTCTTGTCTTTTTTCATGGGGTTATTCATCCGGGGTGGTTAAGCCTATGCTGTCCCCCCTGATACAACGCAGGACAAGGTCATCCCTACATTTTAGTGTGGCCTTTCATCGATTCATTTACGATGCATTTCAGTGTGATATGCCGAATTGTATACGCATGTGACTTCAATAAAAATCACTCTTGACTTCTATAACTTTTTTTATTTTGACTTTCCTGCATCATAAATTCGGCGTTCTCGTAAGGCAGACTATAGAGATCAATCATCTCGACCTGAGATACCATTATTGACTTGTAGCCGGGAACTGAAATTTGAATTGCCGGGAAATTTAATTTGTGTGAATCACTTTTACCCTTTGAAGGAAAAGCACCAATGGAGGGATTTTCTCAGCTCTCTGTTTCTCTAAGGCAAAGATGGTCTGAGGACTTCTGATGAAGATCTTGGTCTTGCCRTATTTGACATCATCAGAGAATCCCATTTCATCGATGATGGCCTGGACTCCATCCCTGTCTGAGCCATTGTAGTTTGGCCATGTCTCCATGGTATTAACTTTGTATCTGAAAGATAAAAAAATATATATACCTTTTTATCTTATTGCAATCATCATTGCTAATTCTATCAGACATCATTATCATCTCATCAYCATCATCAAGTCATGGTCGGTCACTCATGAGATCCCTGTGGAAAGCCATATACAAAGCAGAGACATAGCAAGAGGGCCGAATACGTAGCTTATGCACTGGAAAAAATCGCGCGCTTTAAAGGTGGTAAATTTGATGTAAATATGATGTAAGTGTCCAAAATTCTGTAAATTTAATGGAAATCATTTACATCAAATTTACAGAATTTTGGACACTTACATCATATTTACATCAAATTTACAACCTTTAAAGAGCGCGATTTTTTCAGTGATGCGGGTTTTAAAATGCCTATATCATTTGCAGAGCTTACCTAGCAAGGAATCGACTGTACGGTGTCCTAAATGCATATCCCGCACGTCGAACGCGGACGTTTTCCAGTAAACCAAGATAATCCACCTAGAAAGAAAAATTCAGATTCTTATAGAAAACATCTTATCCTGCAAGCAGCCCATCATCGTAAGGTAAATTTTAGTGACGTTTCCGTAGATCAATTTCAATCTGAGGGGCAAAATAGTAGATTCTATCCCCCAAGTTAACGTCTTATGTTTCGCTTCCGAATGTATAGCTGCTTTATTAAAGTTAATGTTAAATTAACATCACGTGCATATTTTTTTAGCTTTTCAGTCCGAATAAACTGCTTGATACTATAGAATTATCCAATCGAATTTATCTTTACATTTTTAATCGTTTCTTACCTGCCTCTCAACAATGTCGTCGTCAAGAACAGCAGGGGATTTGATGTCGTTCGGTTTGATGCAGCGAACATAGAAAGGTCTCTGTTAAAGGAGAAATAGCCATAAACATCGAACTCTAACGAGCAGATCTTGCAAATACATAGGAAAGCGTCCGCTTTGATTGGTTGATCTTTAAACCGTACTTGAAATCCACAGTAAAGAACATTTATACATCGTTTAATGTAGAGATATAGTCAGTGTTCGTAGTAAAAATTTACAAAGGTAAAGTAAAACAAATGCATTATAATATACTTGAAGCATTTAAGTTCACGTACCTTTGATTTCAGTTTTTCTACTAGGGCCAGCATTGAGTTTTTGAACAAAGTTCCCGCTGTTTGGGGTCGTTGAGTTACCTGGGAAATTAGAAAAAAACTTTCTATAAAAGGAATGACTCTGCATGACAGGGCATATTATTTGAATTGAATTTTTACAGCGTCTGGTAAGAGCTATACACTTACAACTGTGATGTCTTCTTGGCCTTCGGGCCACATTTCTGTAAGCGTCTTATGTGAGCTATTCAAAAAAAAAGATAAGTAAGAAGTTAATGCATGAGTGTTTCTGACCAGTGAGTCCTATCTCGTCGCCCAGTCCTCTTAGTCGTTTTTGTATCATATGGGATTCCTGTACCCCCACTCACAGATGTATCGGGTACATGTACGTGAGATGAGAGCGTGCTGACCGAACATTTGATTGTCAGATTCTTGCCTGTTGTACAGCAGACGTTTGAAGTCTTGATACAACGTGTCTTTATTCTTCTCCAAAAATCCCTCTACAGAGTAACTGTASAAAGCAAAACATACAACTATTTTAGTGAAAAGTTTCTTGCATCTTGACTAACGCATCAACCATGTTGATATAACTAATAAATCCATTCATTAGTCTTTTATCATGCCGAAAAGAGGGTAATAATAATAAAATAATAAATCTTTATTTATCCACGGTTAATCATCAGCTAACATACAATACGTAATTAAAAACACGTATACAATGTAACGAAAAACAAATATCAACTAAAAAAGCTGTTTTCCATGAATGCCGTGCCTTAAATTGTTTGTAATAATTTCTTTTATGCCCCAGCCTTTATTCAGTGTCTTTTCAGGAGCTCTCGACGCTCGCAAATGTGAAAACTCTCCCCAATCCCTTACGTCGAGCTATCACACTTACATCACATCCCCAGCAAAGTGTTTGATAGCAAAGTCTCGATGGAACTCCATACTTTTGTCGGAAGGGTTGGTCTAGCATTATAAAGAAAAAATAAGGTCAACCAGTAAACCATGATCATTTAATTGATTGTGACAGCAGTAGATAATCAATGATGTGGAAGGTACTTACAAGTCTGCTTTTGTAGTGGTGGTGTTTACCAAGCTTTTGGTCCATTGTTTGTAGCAGCATCTATGAGRAAGGAGCTTTATTAGTCAATATAAAAAAGCACATTCGCTGTTCGACAAAAAACAAACAACAAAACATTTATATATTTTACCTCATCGGTGACTTTGCCAATGTTGAGGCATCCTTCGTCCATAATAGCAATGATACCATGATGGTTTTGTTCAATTAAATCACAGATGATCTTGTTGTTAAAATACTCAACCTGTCAAAATAAAAAAATATATCCATCTATTATCAATTTAAATGACTTGTTACTTGACAAATGCTTGACAAAAATGGTGCGGTCTCCTTTCCTGTTTTGACACAATTAAGGTTTAATTAACAAAAACCGCCAATGATTTTTCTGATTACCTCTTCCCATTCTATTCCTTCCCTTCGATATTCCTCCTGCTCTTCCTTCAGCACGAGCTCGATAAATAGCTGCTGCAGTTTTTCGTTACAATAGTTGATGTTGAGCTGTTCAAAACTGTTAGTACCGAAGATCTCGAAGCCATAGATATCCAAGACGCCGATAACCGTGCACTTGCCATGTTCRCGCTTGTTGCGAATCTCAATGATGTCATTAATGCGACCAACAATCCACGTGAACAAACGATCATAAATTGCCTAAGAAGATATCACAAATAAATGGGTGACATCGAACGAAACAAAATGAATGTATAAAAAATAAATTAATAATATTCATAACAAATTGCGCACGGTCTTTCTTTGTATGTCCYCTTATTTGACACACTCTTGACGTCATAAAATGTTCAAAACTCAAGTGGACCCACGAGCGCGCCATAGAACATCGCTGTAGAAGCAAACTTGAACAAGAGTGCAAGTGTAGCGAGTGTTTATTTCTCCATCTCRCAACTTCCGTCTTAAATTCCTTTTATGAAGTAATTTCCGTGCTTGTCATTCCCATTTGTTTAGAGCAGATATCCCAGCTGCCATGTATTTTAAACTCTGACTTCTGGTGTAAAATGCAACATAAATTGTTCTATGTTTGTTATATTAATGTAATGCTGTGTACCTTTGCAAGGGCATCCCGTCCATGAACAACTTCTTCTTTATTGTGAGCTTTTTCCATAACTTCACCCTTRGCAGCCACTACTCTGTAGCAAAGGCTCTTTTCCACGGCTGATGGCTTTGTCCCGAGTAGACTAGCAATGATTCTCACCTTCTCTCTGTTGACAATGACAACTGAATCGTCTTCTTCCATGTCAAATTCAAGATTCCCCTGATTAAAAGTAAAACCAAGACGTATTATTCCGCCGATGGTTTTTGACATACTTATTAAATCATAGCTGATTGACTCTTTGAATTTTCAAGAATGATATAGGTGCCGGGATGGAGCTCGAGTTCCTATATTAGAACAGGCAGTGTACTTTATAGTGAGATTATCTTACCAAGTGTAGAATAGCAGCGAGAAGTTTCCATATTGTTTTTTGTTCTTCTGGTGAAAATCCAACCGCTTTCATGGCATCACTGTTGATTTTGTATTGCTTGGCGTCGTTCATTGAAGAAAGCTATCATGAAATGGATTCCAGTTAAACTTAACTGCTTTTACATCTATAAGAATATAATTAGCAAACGACGGTACCTTTGGCAGTTTTCCTTGTTTGGTGTAGTAATATTGCATTGGATCTTTATCAAGGCAATATTCTGTTAACGCTGATTCAGGAGAACCATCTAAAAGCTGCAAATGTACATTACTTTCATTGAGTTTCGTTACAGCTTGTGTTTCTTTGTTTCGTTTTTTTTTTGTTTTGTTTTGTTTTGTTTTGTCTTTCTTTTTCAAGAAGGATAATTCTCGGATTCCGTAGTTTCAAGTACACTAGTGCAAATACATGCAAATACAAAACATTTGTAACGAATTGTACCTGATAGAATGAATGGAAATTTCTTTCTCCTTCTTGTTGTTTTGTTACTCTGGACTGAAAGYACAACAGCATGGGCTTTAAACTTTGAATCGTAGAACTGACATTGAGAAAGAAAACAAGCATTGCGTCTTCCTACCTTTTCAAGGAGATAGTTAAAGATATGGCCACCAATAGGGTCTCCCTTGAAGTCAAAGTCTATATCCATGTATTTACCAAAGCGACTTGAATTGTCATTACGGTTTGTCCTGGCGTTGCCGAAGCTTTCAAGAATAACATTCGACTTGAGGAGAACATCTTTGACTCTGTCAGTGAATGGAGAAGGAATGTCTTAGTCCTGGTCATTACTAAATGAGTTTTATAGATGTTTATACCATGTCATGCGTCCCAAATGGATATTGATTGAAAAACAAAACAGCAACTACACAAACGCGTATCCTTGTTAAGTTTCCCGCCTCATCCATTCGTATCTAGTAGCTGTTTTTTTAGTGATGTCGGCGCCACCTTCTTGGGGTTCATCGGCAAAGGATTTCTCATTAGCATCTATTGTTCATATCATCATAGCATGTATTTAAATGTAAAGAGCCGAAGGGAGAGAAGCGAGGTAATATYAATCAACATACCTTTCAATTTCTTTCTGTTTTGATACATTAGTTATTGCAGCAATAAAGTTCATGATAATCTTAGATGCCTCTGTTTTTCCTGAACCGCTCTCCCCTAGAACCACAAATGTTTTTAGAGATTACGGATAATTACTCGCCTCATGCGGGCATAGTTAACTATGATATGGGGTTCTCTATAGAGTTTACAAATACAAAGCACTTGCTTCAAGTTTGATATCTTTTTAAGATGCACCAAATCATGCACTTTCATCGTTCTTTCTTTCTGACATGATTAAAATTTTTAAAAGTTTAATTTTTTGCAGTTTTCTCCTGCCTTCTACGCAGCCACACCTTTGTGTTGCCCTTCTTCGAAAAACGAGAGAATTMTAACTGACAATTCTATTTCATTCATAAGTTTAGGAAATCGCACGAAYTTGAGTACAATTCGGAATTTATAGTCGCGAGTAATGTTTTGAAAGTTCTTCGTAATTGCACGAGCCTGATAGGGCGAGTGCAATTTGTTAACTTTCAAAGCATTAAGAGAGGTTGTTCGATTTTTTGTTTATAGTACATTCAGTGAAACAAAATTTTGTAAGGACTGTAAAAAAGTATTGTTTTGTTGAATGTATATTATTTAATTTAATAATTGAAATGTGAATACTTTTGTTTCCATTTTCTTTTCTTTTTTACTTTCCTGAYTCGATTATATTCTTGTAAATTATGTTTGATGAACTAACGGCAAAAATATGTAAGAGTAATTTCCTAATCAGAATAATTGTCTCAGGGTGCGCAAGGGTGATTAATAAAAATTAACTCTGTCATGTCTGATTTATTGACGTGTATTGACATTAGAGCACTCATCCACGAGAGATTAGACCATAACAGAAAAAAAATTCTTCATGAAATACCTTACGCATTTTTAAATGTACGAAATTGTAATTGTAAATGTAAATTAGTTCATATCTAGCTGTGAAACAGTCAATGAATAAGTTTTCTAAACTATTTTGAATAATGCTGACTTGCAACGCATAGATGAATTTATCTTTTCAACTGAAAAATTAAAATTCAGTGTTGTTGTATKAACTGCTTGATTTTCTCGAACTAGAAGAATTCATTGAGCACCAAAACAAGTTTTTATTTTCAAGCCGAGAATTCACATGAAAAGATTACTAAGTTGTTTTCATGGTAACGCAGAACGATTATCGACGGGGAAGCTTCAAAAGATATTACTCCAGTAATTACATCATGATATTTCAAGAACTTTCTAGTTAAAGCATAGACGACAAGAACTATTGTAGAAAAAAATGTCAATTCACGTTTTTTTTTGTTTTTTTTTTTTCTAAAAGGAATTATTTTCGAACGAAGTTTCAATTATGAACTATCAATATTTCAAACTGATTTTTGAGCTTTGTGTTAATTGTTAATACAAATATTCAATCAAAATTTTTACATCACCAAACACATAACATTTGCAGTRAAATTGGTCTACCGGAACTCTACAACAAAAGTCATCAACACATTTTTTTGATGAGTTTTATCATAAAACGTTTTCCATTACTTCCAATCGCCGGTTTCTAAATCATCTACATATTGTAATTAATTATGTCAATCACACTTTAGGGAGTTGTTTTCTAGAGTTTGACTGAAAGTACTGAGGCACTTACCAGATATAATAATACAGCTATCTTGTGAGTTCCTCTTCATCGTTCTGTAGGCAGCGTTTGCCAAGGCAAATATGTGCGGTGGGTTTTCATAAATCTCGYTTTTTTGATATTCCTTCACATAATCCGGACCATATATATCTAGGGTCTTGTAAGGGTTCACCGATACAACCACTTCACCAATGAAAGTATAAATTTTCTCTTTAGTAAAGCGAACCTGGAGATTTTCCATAAAAGCTGGCTTCGTGACTTCGTCCAGAAGGACAAAATCTCCTTTGCCATATTCCAAGCTCTCCTGCTCCGCCATGATTTTGATTAGACTGCGAATATCGGATAAAGACCGCGAGACATAACGTGTAACATAATCTYATTGGTTAGTATAAATAAACAATATCAATCAGCCAATAAGAGTTCGCCATTGAAATATTTGGGTTTCACCTAAATGATATTTACTGCTAAACAGTCACGCTATTCTTATCTGAAAATATTGACCACTTTCCACAGTATATCGACCACAAGTTTAAGGAGTGTATAAGGTATTTGCTCAGATATAATTCGTTGAAAGACAGCTTCAGGCACTGCCTTATTAAGCATTGGTTAATGCACCACTTGTTTCCTTTGATGGCAAAGACGTCAAGATGGGTCAACAAGTTTACGGTTTAATGATTGTGACGTACAMAACACATCGCCAGAAAGAATGATTTYTGTGGCAGACTGTGAAGCAAATCGATTTTTTCGTGTGYATTGTCAGATTCTAACAAATTGACTGAAACTGKAATTAGAGTTTGCTAACGTATGTAAGTTTAGGTGCTTCCCTRTAAAAAGCACTCWTAGAAACACTATGTRGGAGGATCTGAAAAAATAGCAGTAAGAGCAGGGAGGAGGCTCAATAAATCATACAGATCACTTGTGYTCAATGTGACACAGGAAACCCRACTTCTGGTGCATGTGGGTATTATCATCTTTATTATGGGCGWGCTTCTCAAAGAAAATCAAGATTAAATCGTTATTCCCTAACATTCACCATCAATTAGATATTCTTACAAAAATATTACACTTACACGATCTTTAGACAATTGCACAGTTTTACTGACATCAATGAAAATACATTTACATTCTGAATACTTAAGTGTGTTGGTCACTATTTTGCTTGCAAGTCATCAGACCCTATGCTCAGTTTTTAGCCATCAGGGTTTGGATGCTCTCTWGAGAGYGCACATAAAGTCCTGCCGTCTAAAAAMCAAGCCTAGGCTTGGAAACTTTTTGCTGACATCATAGTTCTGACATCAAAGAAAATWTATAGACAATCACAAGGCAGATTAACGAGATATAACTGCTACAATCAGCTCAGGTAACTCTCATTGAACATGAATTTTGCTATGAATCAGGCCTGCAGCTAACCCCAGTTCAGGAACAGCTGTAGTGCAGTGTTCATAAATCATTCTTTGTGCAAAATAACAATGACAAGCGATGACTTATAGGTGCAACACAAGAAATCTGGTATTTTTATATATGAAATACTTCAGCTTCACAGAAAAAAAATTCAAGAATCTTCTAAAGACTGCCATCTCACTTTTAGATGGGTGCTAAGCCTCTATGCGTTGTCCAAATTTTTTTTATTTACAAGTTACATCATGATGGCTAGAGATCCAGAACACCATCACAATCAGGTATTTTTAGTTATTTCTAAGGAAGGGCAGGCACAAGGTAATGTACAAAAACCCATCAATTGTCCTTTGTAGGATGTTTTCAAATTCAAGCTTCCATGTTGGACTTCCTGATTTTTTTTTGTCATAGAGTGAGATTTAGCTTCTCCTTAGTGCATCATACTTGTTTCCCAAGTCAAGTTTAGGCCTTCTATCAGCTGGGTTTTCCATTGAACGTGAGCCATGTTTTACTGTCTCAAAACTTTTACTTCCGGTTGGTTCTTTGCTATCAAAACAGAGACAAAGGTCATAAAAACTTGCAAATAACTACCAGTATCTCTAAGACAACTRTATCTACAAACCTTTTGCTATCCTGCACAGCAGCTTGCAGTGTTGGAAAAGCAATCTCACTGTTRATTTCTGGTGCTTTTCCTTTGATTCCACCACTCATAGCCATTTTGGTTCTCATCCCTGGAGGTCGATAAACTCCAGCTACTACTTTTGGTTGCTCCTCTTCAGCAGGCTGGGCAGTCTGGGCTGGAAAAGAGAATATCTATGAATAAGGAATTGTGCTTCATTTAAGCCAACAAAATCTGCTGCAACATCAGTTGAAATCATGCTCTATTTTTTTATGTTCTGACCCACCCCCCACCCCTCCCCCTATGGCTACCAACAAGTTCTTTCTTTGTGTTTGTAGTATAAGTAGTATTTTTTACTATTCTAGACACTAATTTACAAGCAGCTTTTATAATACATATTTTATTAACTACTGGAACCTTCTCAATGTATACCGTATTTACTCGAACAGATGCCTCCCCTGAATAGAYGCCGCCCTCAAATAGAYGCCACACTTAAAGCTCAAAATATTAATAGACGCCGCCCCTGAATAGACACTGCATCTGGGTGCGGCGTCAATTTGAGGAAATAATGATACCAGCAATGGGAATTTCTTTTCTTTTAGARCATTTTTTATTTCGAAGTGACTGTACATTTTTGCTCTTAGCAGCTGTTAGATTCTGACCACGAGGAGGACATTGATGTTGAAATAGAGGTTTAACTCTGGTTAAAATCATAAATTGAATAGACAAAATGAACACGACATTTAAATATTGAGATTCGTTACTGTTTGTTAGTAAAAAGATACAATATAAAGTATGGTATGTAGTACTGAATAAAGTGTTTTTTTAATAAACGCCGACCYGGAATAGACGCCGCATCTGGATCGTGAACAATGAAATAACGTGTCTATTCGAGTAAATACGGTAATGTTATTATGTATCAAGCGATTTCTTACCAGATTGTGAAGATGCTTGCTGCCATGGACTCAGTTTGTCCTTCTTGGCTAACAATTCACCTAAAAACAATAACTTTAGATTAGAAATACCAAAATGGTATTATAAAGAATTATAACTACTTTTGAAAATATGATTCACAGGAGTATTCATCTGATTTTCCTTTGCCTTGATACTAAAATATTCAATGCCTTTACTAATATTTATGTCTTCCTCACTAGGTCAAGAAGAGTTTTTAACAAGTGAGCACAATATGAAAACTTGGCTATATTCATGGAAAAAGAGGCACAAAAACTTGAATTTTTACCATCTTCATCAAATTCTTCCTTTTCTTCTTCTTCATTTGTTTCTTGTTCTTGTTTATCCCTTAAAGAAAGTCAAACATGTCTGCTTACTTCCATATGAAACAAGAATTTCCTTATGTGATTTCCGTAGCTAAAATTTGAAATMCAAAACCCCTCTGTAATTCCTAGAAATTCAAAGAACATTTTATGCTCTTGTAAGGCACAACCTATTTTAGATAACAGAAGTGGTCTGCAAACTCAAACAGTGTGCAAATAGTCCCTGCACTCAGCAACAATCATTGAGTTAGAAGCTGTACAATTAAAACAAACTCTCTATGACTCTCCTTTTATGGGCAAGCCAGATCAATCGTATGCTGTCCAGACAACATCATTTCATTTCAAGGTCAATTAATAACCTACTTGCGAATTTTGACGCAGTAGTAACACACAAAGGAATCAATCACAACAAGTGACGGATCTTTATGCACAGCGCCTTGTCTCGATTCTTTTGTGCTTAACTACTAAGGCAAAATTTACAAGTCATCCATGTACAAACTCTACTGCCCTTGGAATACCCTAGATAATGTAATTTATTCTGCACTTGACTGACACTTACGATATCTGAAGGGTTTGAATTCTCAAACCAGAATAATCTTTTTCTTGGGGTTGTTGAAAATCTATCCATTCTTCATCTTCCTGGTGATAACGAGATTAAATAAAAAATTAGGATGACACAATTACATAATATTATACATTTTTGTCCAATCAAACAATTTCAAAACAAAAAAGTTACATCTTTTCACTCATGTCAGTATATCTTTAGGAATTCAAACTGAATTTGCACTTTGATGAGAGGTACATTTGAAGCATGTCTAAGGWAATCGGGAGATCGCTATTATTACAYTTWGGTGTCATAGCAAATCTTTTGAGAATTAATCCAACAATTTTACCAAAAAACACACGTGGAAATTTTATTCTTAAGCTATTTGAATGCACCCACAAACATTTGAATGAAAAGAAGCACAATGAAACATTTAYGCCGAGTAAAGAAGATGAGAATTGGTTACAGTAATAACAAATACCTTTCCTGATGTAGTTTGGTTCGACAACGATGACTTTTTGGAGCCCTGATCTTTTGAATCGTCCTTCTTTGGCTGGGAAACTTGTTTGGTGATGGCGTCCGAAGTCGTGAATTTACTCTTCGATTTACCCTTCTTAGCCTTCTTTTTAGCAAAGAAATCCTCTAAAGATTTATCATCAGACATCCTTCTACTAGAYTAGGGCTCCCAGGCAAAGTGCCGAGGAAGAAAGGGACAGAAATTGGTCAACGAAAGACGGTAACAGTTGCTTCTTTCTCCTTTCTTCTTGATGACTCACATGTGGGTCTCATAAAAAGGGMCTGAGAACTATCTAGTACCAGTCGACCGCGAACCACAAATCACAGAAAGTCCACAAAGGAATTATTRAAATCCGAAATAAAACGTTTAAGAAAAAATTGATGTATAAAGGTGTGGAAGAACGTAACATTATTGAGAGAGATACATGAAATACAGTCTAGTCCAGAGTGATAAAGGTTCTGGGTCATTTTTTTAAGGAATGTTTGTAGTATGGGGTTCCTGTGGAATTGAAAATGGCGGAAGAGGAAGAGAGGAAGTTTGAAGAAAGCTGTATTTTCTGTCAAATTGCTGTGAAAAAGAAGGAAGCAAAAATAGTCTACGAAGATGAAGAGTTCATAGCATTTCCCGACATCCGTCCTGCGGCGGAACATCATTATCTTGTCATTCCTAAAACACATTTTGGGAACCCTAAGACTCTTGAAGGTCGACATCTCAGTTTTGTTCAAAGAATGAACGACGTTTCATCCAAGATTTTAGAACAGAACAATGGTAATATCGAGGACGCAAGAATTGGCTTTCATTGGCCTCCTTTTAATTCAATTCAACATCTTCATCTTCATGTAATTTTTCCCGCCTCTCAAGTGCATATGATGTCTCGATTAGTTTACAAGTCGAATTCTTGGTGGTTTGCAACAATGGAATGGACTTTAGACCATCTTACTRAAAAGCTTTCGAAGGATGCAAAATCTGGGGATGAAGATAATAAGCATAAAGAAGATACTAGATAAATATTTACAAAGAATTGTATGAAAAAAAACTGAAGGAGAGAATACAAATATATCTCTTGCCATTCTAAAGAAAAGGACTGCAAATTAATTCTTGGCTTAAATTTGTATCCAAAGCTTGAAGTATTTCATGACTTAGTATCTCATCAACCTAACTTTGTCTCCTTTGTTTGTCATTTAGGATCCATTTTTTGGTACGCTCTTAGATGTTCTATCCTGCAATTAAGTGCAATTGTTTCCCCTATGTTCCTGGGCTWTGTTGTGTTTGCATTTTGTGGTGTGAACTCCCTCCTTGTRTGATCCACACCCCTCCATAAAAAAGCCCTTGATATAGTCTTGGTAACAATGTGCCRGCACAGAGACTGCTAACAATAATTCATGCAAGGAGACTTCTTGTTGACCCATGTTCCTCATCCAATAGCAAACATTAATATTAAATCTCATCAAATGCTAAGGCACTCACAAGACTCCAGTGACATTTGTTATGTATAGACAAATTCTTAAAAAATACTTTTCAATAAATGCATAAAATGATAAAATTAAAAAAAGTTATTCAGGGCTGCAATGCCCATGCATTTGCTCCTGCTTGTAAAAGGGAAAGGTTTACTGAAAAGGTCTAATAGGAATGGGAATCAAAATTGGATTCAAATTCCTAATACTTAGCTGCATATAGAGTTTGTAGACTCTGTTTTACAATTTTTGGCTATTGCAGGACTRAAAAAGAAGTGGTCCATTAACTAGAAGACTACTTGCATCGATTTAGATCAACACTGCTCAAGTTATTTTTGTCATTTTTCAGAACGAGTCCTATGATCCGGCCTGGGTAACTTGTKCAAATGGGCGGATCCGAATGGGCTCCCTGTGTTATGCAAATTATGTATATATTACCTCAGGCTGCAAGGTCAGGCCGGTGAAACGGCATCTATTTTAGGATTTGGTGAATTTCGTTCGAACTGCATCACATATCAACAATTCTCGACTGATATAAAAGGTAAGAGTCGTTTGTATTGTGTCTTTTTTTGGTTCGTTTCTAAGAAGTGGCTCGATGAGTTGTAGTCAAAGGCCACGTTCACACTAAAGCGTTTTCGTTTGAAAACGAATCGATAGGTATGCGCCCTCGAATATGCTAGTGTGGAGGCAGATCAATCTATACGTTTTTAAACCTATTGAAAACGGATACAAACGAAAACGCTTTAGTGTAGACGGGGACAAAGTCCACCCTAAGGAGACATCATTGAGGAACTGAAAAAGGAACTGAAAAAATCCTTTTTGCAAATGAGAAAGTGTAAATACAACATTTTTATGGAAGGAAAATAAACAGGYTTTAGGCCTTCAGTGAAGAGAGGTGACAAGATAACTTTTCCAGCGGAAATGGACTTTTCGGCTTTTTGGTCTTCCTGTGTGTTGATGATCTTGACCGAGAGGAACTTGTGTTAAGATATTATAAGAACAAAAAACTTCTCCTGAATGTTGTCTCTGCTTCTTTTCTTTCTTTCCTAACTCACTCCCCGTCTGGGACCTTTTTGGACTCAACACAGGAATCTCAGATAGAGTTGCAGGCTATTAAGGAGGCTAGGTAATATATATGTTTGTTGTCTTGTATTGACATGAATRAACTATATATTTGCTTGCATTGTCGTTTTTAGATGAGTCAATCACTTGTGAGGATATTTGTCTATGGAACATTGAAGCGTGGTTTTCCTAACCATCATCTTATAGAGACRCCTCCGTCTGGAAAAGTGACTTACATAGGATGTGGTCAAACCTTAGAGAGCTATCCAATGGTTACAGGAACAGATGCTGATATTCCATTCCTTCTCCCCTTCCCAGGCAAAGGATCGGTAATTCTGATTTGGCTTTGACAAGCTTAAGTTAGGATTTTGGTCGACCACAGCTTTGAGAATCAACCAGCTGATTTATAATCATCARTCAGTCAATCTGTTGGAAAATTAACTGTAGATTTTTTYMWTTTTTTTTCAGAAGATCAAAGGAGAGGTTTATGAAGTTGATCAAGATGCTTTGATTCATCTGGATGACCTTGAAGAACACCCAACATGGTATAAAAGAATGGCTTGTGCTGTAATGCTTGACAGCTCTCAAGAATTATCCTGTGAAGCATATTTTCTAATAAACTCAAAGCCAGAATTAATGCAATTGACATTCTATAAAGAATATACCCAAGAGCTGGCAGCCAGTTATTGTGAGCGTAAACTAGTATCAAGGGTTTCATCATTAAAAGGTCAAGTTCAGCTTGGTAACGATAATGATTATAATACAATATGAGTAGATTTATAAAGTAACAATGCAATTACAGCAATACGTTAAAATTCCACGATAAACAAAAGTATCGTCTTACCTGAATGTGGGAAGATCCCATATACCCAGAAACTGAGGGGCTTTTAAGACAGGGCTATCACACTCCAATTATTCCTTGGGTTTATAAGATTGGGCCAGTTCAGCAGAACTCAAATATGTTTTCATAGTTCATGTAAGAGTGTTAATGCTGTTTATTGCAAGACGAGAGTTTATGACATAAAGGTTTTTTTTAATACTGCTCCTGTTTTTTATAATTTAATAATTTAATAAATTTTAGGGATATTTTATTCTGGGGTGAGGGGTGTGGGGGGGGGGACTCCCTTATAAAAGTTGGTAGGTATGCTTGATGATCCTTTTGGGCTCAAAAATAAAACCCTGCATACCTTTTAGAGTCCTAGAGCTGACTCCATACCTTTTTTCAATTTTGTGTCAATTTTTGAATAACAGGGAAAATATGAAGAAGTGTTAATAAAGAAATAGATTTTATTAACCTCAACAATCTACTAAAATTGATTTTCTACCGTTTGTTAAACTTGAGCTTTTCTCTTGTTAAAGACATCAAACATGGTCGTACCGCCTGCGAGGGGAGGGGGGGGGGTCTACTCCCATATATTTGCTATACGGGGATGTGCCGCTGGCCAGGGTATGGTTTTTGGCCTTGCTGTCTTAAACAGGGTATACATTTCACCCRAAATTGTCTTAAACCGGCTCCTACAATTTAGATCAAAAAACCGATATAATTTTTTGTGTCTTGGACAGGGTAATATTTTCATAAAAAAACACCGTAGAAATAGTAGAAATACCGTTTCACTGTCCCAGGATTAACGTGTTATCAAAAACGTCTTATTCTCTTTGATGGATGTCAGTATAATTGCAGTTTTGATGGTTGSRGCGTAGATAGCTAWTCCTTAYTTTTCCGATTTKTCTTGAACAGGGTAAGGATTTTTACTTTTTAGTGTCTTAAACAGGGTCATCAAAATGGCTTTATTCGCATGAACTATTTGTTACAGTCATTGCTAAAGCTTTACAAGGTAAATAATAACGATAATAATAGTATTTAAAAAAAAATCATAAGATATATTTCTAATTATAAAATATTAATCATAAATTATTTAGTTATAGTTTGAGTGGTATAATTGTTATTATTTTGTCAATTGCGATGATTCAATTTCGGCGATTTTACAATTTCTTTTTCTAAACACTAATTAATGAATTTTGATAAACTAACGATAACAGTTTGATTTTCTGAATTCATGAGGGTATCAATGAATTCTTCGTCATTATTTGACTAGAGTGATTATCCACTTTGTCTTTTGGGTCAGGGATTTAGACCGCTGGCAGCACGTACTTATCCAAAACGGGGTCGAGTAGCCCCCCCTCGTACCGTTTAGGGTCTGGAATCGATACTTGAATTAATTTATGAGTACCTTTTAGGGTCATTTTTTTATCTATCCGTTGAGCATACCTACCATCTTTTATAAGGGAGTTCCCACCCCCTGGATTTTATTGGTGTTTTTGATTTTGATGACACTGTTAGTTACATATATTTATTAGTGAGTATAGCAAATAAAATTATCTCAGAAAAGACTCATTTTGTAAACCTTCAATGACGTCATGTGTGACGTACTATCATTCTATTTTTTTACTTTTTTTGTCGCAAAAATCAAAATTTTAAAACCAACTGGAAAGTTTTTCCATCATCCACTTCTCGTTGAATTCATATAAAAACATCAGAAAAAAATCTTAAAAAATCACGAGCAAGTAATATGTTTTTTCAACTATCAAAATGTTCCCGCCAAAATTGCCCGGAAAATATTTTAAAGCGCGGGAAATGTWCCAAATCATGACCAAATATAGCTTTTCGAATGGAGTCCCTGTGTCAAATGTGTCCAATAGGGTCTTGTGCCAAACCACCTGGGACTTTCATTCATTATAATAATTCACATCCGCTCGAATGGTCGATAACAACACCAGAGTTGTGAGCTTGGATTGTTCTTTTGTGGAAATCGACTTTTTTCACCATAAGGATTGGGCGTGCTACTAAACACCATATTGCCTTCATGAAGTATTCTCCTTAAATGAATACAAATATTTTATAGACTTATCATATTAACATTTCGAAAAGGAGAAAATATATCACCTGACGAACTCGTCTTGACAGGCTGACAAGGAAACAGCTTAAGAGCGCCAAAATGCAGAGAAATCAAGAAAATGGCTCGCCGATCACCTTCATCGTKTGTGCTAYWYTGATTCAGATATTAGGAATTCTATGTATGATTCTCACTGGTGTATGGGTGGGTGAATACCGTGGCGGCTTTGCCTGGGATGGCTCTGGCAAGCAATTCAACTATCACCCACTGTGTATGGTGATCGCGTTTGTCTTTCTTTACAGCGAGGGTAAGATATATATACGTGTCATTCAGCTCTTAAAACTAACAATRTGTCCTCTTCAAATTGGTATATAAGAATGTAATTTCTTAGCGTCGATAAATGTTGAGTTAAACTATTTTAAAAAGAGGCAAATGCTTTGATATGTAACCTATTACAGAGTTATGCAATTCTTTATACTGGTTCTGCTTCAAGTCAAGTGTTCCAGCCTAAATCTAAATTCAGTGTCAAATAAAGACAATTTTCATACCAACCAGTTATTTTCGACTACAGGTTTTTTGCATGTCTTTACTTTATTCAAATTTTGAGAGTTGTCAAGTCAACGGCAGAGAAAAGAAAGAATKATCCTTCCATTCTTTAGGAATTAAATGCATCAGTCATTGAAATCCTGGCCCCGAACCTCCAGGGAGGGACTGGRGAATTGAGGTATTAAAGCCAGGGATCTAGCATTATTTTAACAGCCAATCAATATGAAGGTAATCGAAGGAAATGATCTATTAGCTGCCCTTTTTGGRCTCTAAGGGCTTACATGTGATTCCCACATGTGTATTTGCACCAATGGTTGGATAAGGCCCATGATTTCAATTAAGGTGAATAACATGAGGCTTTCAATGTGGCTCTGCATGAATCAGGAAACATTCTAAAGATTCAATTTCATTTGATCATATTCAATGGAGGGACAATGAAATAAAGGACAATGAAAATATGGGAATAACTGGCATATGTATTACATAATAGGTTTTTATATTTTGCTCTCATGTAGCCATGATTGTCTACCGTGTCTTCCGCTTTGAAAACAAATTCATGGTAAAGTTAGTACACTTTGGCCTTCAACTTGTTGGATTCATTGTTGCTACAATTGGTTTGAAGGCTGTATTTGACTTCCATAATGCACAGAAGATCCCAAATATGTACTCCTTGCATAGTTGGTTAGGAATTGCAACCACTGTCCTATTTTCTTGCCAGGTAATTCTATTAATAATAGTGCAATTCAAGAAATGGCAACATTAATCTGTATACTTCATGGAAAAAAGTATTCATTTAACATTRTCTAGTAGTGTGAGACTTAGAGCTGTAATATATTAAAAAAAAAAACAAAATATCTCAAAAGTACTATGCAAAGTGGGTAACTCCCTAAGTTGTAAACAAAACAAAATTCACAAATGTCTAGAATACCACACATGGTTTGTGACTCTCTAAGCTGAGTAATGAGATTGCCATTCATTAGTTATAAACAGACATTGCAAAGACAATCATAAAGGAATGCTTATTATTTTTTAGCTTTTATTTGGCTTCACTGGGTTCTTGTTTCCAAAGTTTTCTGAGGGTTCACGCGCATCTTACCTCAAGGTRCATATCTTCTTTGGAGTGTTTATCTTTATGATGGCCATCTCGACTTGCCTGTTGGGTATCACCGAGAAAGCTTTCTTTTCAATCAAGTAAGTGGATGCTACAAATGTTTTTCATTGTCGGTAATTTTGATTGTTTGCATTGAATAAAGTACATACTTCATGAATTATTATCATCAGTCAGTTATTGATCAATTGAATTGTGGAATTAATGAAAAAATCAGCAAATAGATTAGTACCCATCAATAATCTTTCAAACAGAGACAACTATAGACACAAATAAAACAATTTTTGTGATAAAAAAGCAGTAGCAACTTCAATAACTACACCAAAAATTTTAAAAATGCAAGGAAAAGCTTAACCTTTTAAAGTTATTAAGTTTAAAGTTTAATCATTCTTTCTTCAGGGCAACCTATCCCAAATTTGTTCCCGAAGGATTGCTGATTAATTGTCTGGGTATGATGCTGGTATTGCTTGCTGGAGTTGTYATTTTTATTGTCACCAACTCAGCATACAAAAGGGTGGAGAGTTCTGAAGAGCACTCTACTCTACTGTCAAATAATAGTGACTAGTTATCATAATATTGTAAAAAGGGAAGATAATGATTAAGAATATGTGAATTCTTTTGAATGGTGTGAAATTCCTCTATTGAATTTGACTCTTTGCTATAAAAACAGTGGCATAATCTGTTTAGAGCTTATCTTGAGCTACATGATGTTTCCATTAATTTAGAAAGTCGTTTTGTTTTATGGAAACAACTTCAGTGGACGTACTTAGTCTTTGAAACAAGATTAAGTACTAATTAATGCTAAATATAAATAATTTATTTATTTRACAATAGGAAACAAAGGAATTAGCATAATTAAGTACTTAATTATTTAATTAAATTTTAGTATTTAAATTGAAGGCAGTATGCAGTGATAGTTGCCTGCAGAAACTGGATGCTCTAAAAAACAAATAGTAGCACAAAACATAGTTTGAGAGTGACTATAAAGTTTGGAGGAATATCTAGTCTCCCAAAGCAACAATCAAAGGAAAATTGCAGAGATTTCAACTACTTTACTGTTTTTATTATTCAACAACAAAATTTTCTGTCAAAGCAGTATGCTCTATGCTCTGATAGTACCCCTCTGCATTGGGCACTGTTCTGGCAAGTGGTAGACTCTTCACCTGTGAGAGTAGAAGAAAATTTGTTGTTGAATTGTAATTTATCATATTTAAGTCTCATGGATTAAGTGTGACAGTTCTATAAAATGATAGACAACATATGGTGTTATGTTTGGGTGATATACACTACATTGATAATTGACTTAAATATTTAATTCATCTGAATTATGCAACGTACGTGTTTAATGTAGCGTAGTACAGACAACGTACGTGTTTTTGATGTAACGTAGTAGAGACAAATTCTGTTGTTWTAAATCCTCCATGGAAAAGAAAACGAAAGAGTTTGGCTCTAGTACCTAGGGGAATTCTTTCTGGTTTAAACAGAGCCTTGCAGTGTGTCAGCTTGTAGGTTTGTAGGTTTGACAATGTTTTCGCACAAATCCAAACTTTCAGATGGGCACGCTTTTCGCAAGCTTAAAAGTTACAAAAATTACGTAATATCGTATAATRTCGGAATGACCAACATGACTGCCATGATATGAATTGAATACCCRCAATTAGCTGTTTTTACTGGGGAATTTAACTTTGTTCACTAAGTKAGCTATTTCTTGACCCTTTCAGGAAACTGGGTGGTTCGAAGATAATGGTTCATAAAGAGTTTATTTAATGTATCGGTTTTTTTCCAATTGGAATGAATTAATAGCTACCATTAAAAACCTATGATCAAATCGACATTCATGGAGGTGAATTTAAAGCGTATAGAAAGGGAAAGCACTTCGTGCGTCAAGCGAAAATAATACAAAAKGCGAGCGAAATTATCAAATTCTTTTCTTGTCTGTTGAGAAAATAAAATTATATGGTATCAGTTACTAATAAGTACAATTAGAGATGCATCTTCAACACCAAGGGCTTAGACGAATAAAATAAACAGAAACCAATTAATGCA